TAACATTTCATGTAGATTAAGTGAAAAATAAACTTCAGCTCAACCTGCCTTTTCACCAAACAAAGCCTCCTAGTAAAATTTAATTAATCGAAAAATGCAGTTTGGTACTTGTAGAGCAACTCGGAATAGTGAATGAAGAAAAACAAATGGTGACATTCCTGAATTCAATTCAATTGTGCTGATTTTAACTTGACCTGTCTTTTTACCGAAGTCTACGTAATTTAAAGTAAAACAAAAATAGTTTGGTGGAAATGGGGCAAACAAATGTGTCAGACTGCAACAACGGCATGGACAGACTGGGAATCACTATACAGCGTACATGAAAATCACAAAATTTTAACAAATCTGTTTTCATACATGATTTTATTGGCAACAGTATAAATATCCTTGCTAATCATGACATTCTTGATGGCAAGACTATGCAAAGCAGCACCAAGAGTTCATCTACATATACATGCGATTACTCAAAACATAACTTGGGGGGGGGGGGGGATGAGACCTTTACATATACAATTAAAGCAGATTTAAACTAAAGTTAAATTTTATATTTACTTCCACCATATTTTGAGCACAAAGCAAAAATGGAAAATCAAATGTATTTATATAAAATGAAAGCAAATTATGATTGGGAACCATAACCAGACAAAAACAGTAAAAGTTTTGTAGCTCAAAATCAACCAAGAAGTATTTTATGAATTGGAAAAAAAGAACCATTTTCAATTTCTAGACCTTTTCCATCTTGCAGAAAGGTCAAGCAAAAAAGAAGACATTCCCTGAAATGAACATTTTAGGAACATGCCACTTTGTCAAAGATTAAAACTAAATGTGGAGATCAATAGATAATGTTGCATTGAAAAAAATTCAATTCTGTTATATGAAATCTTGTTTGGTAAAATCCATCATCTAACATTGCAACTCCTAATCAACCTATAATTTCTTCATTCATTTACATTTCTAAAATTAAAAAAAAAATTATAAAGTGAGCAGCACCAACAAGTACAATATAGTAAAATGAGAATACATATGGTAAAATAATTAAAAGCAAAAATATGTGGGTATCAGCAGCCTTAAAATATTTGCTGTCTATATATGACAAAAACTATAAATTTTGAAAAGCATTTAAGAATACAAGGCTTAACAGAAGAAATTATATTTGTAAATACACACAAACATTATACAAAGCTGAGACTGACTAATTGTAAATATAACCTGTTGACATTTCAGAATAGTAACAAATAATGTTCAAATGATGTTAGAATTAATAAGGACTAATGAGCAAATGCTTTAAATCTGATCAAAATCACCATGAGGTATTTTAAGTTCATCTATTGGAGTTACACTAAACAGATTGGCCATATTCACATATACGATGTAAAAATAAAATTTGTAAAGTGTTGTGGAGATTCTCATTGATGATATTGTCATCAATTATCAGTACAAGCATGAAGCCTTGGCACAACTAAAGTGATTGGGATGCAAAAGTGTATATGAGATGTATAGCGCATACATAATACTTTAAGCCACAACACCTATATAACATAATCAGTAGCATTATTGAAAATCAAAAGAAAAATTAATCAAAATCAATTCACAAACAGCACCAGGTGACCTTTTACTAACCATGTTAAGTCATACATGTGATAATTAGCCTATAAATACTAGAATAATATATAAATATATATAGCATGCTTGGTGCTAAATTGCAGTTCGCTTCATCTCCAGCTGCAAGTAATTTACTAAACTGGATGGTGGTTCATTGCATAATGACTGCATGTCAAAACAGAAGAGCTAAGAGTTGTTAATTAGGATAGTAAGAAATCCATCATTGGTACCCTCTACTAGGGCGACAGATTGATTTTCCACAGATATGTCTCTAGATAAACAGGCGGTCATTTTGGTCTGTTGACAACAATTGAAAAAAAAAACACTGAAAAAAATTCAATTCTGTTATATGAAATCTTGTTGACAACAGACCAAAATGACCGTCTATTTATCTAGAGACACATCTGTGAATATCTGTGGAAAATCAATCTGTCGCAATGGTAGAGGGTACATCATTGGTATGGTGTTTATGTATGCCATGGTTTGTTTTATACTGTGAGTCATACAAACAATGGCAGGGTATTTTCTTCTTTTTGAAACTGGTCACAATTCATCACCTACTGTTAACTCTATTGCAGATGAATAGTTTTAACTTAACAACTACATGCTTCAAACAATCTGTATGGCATATCACTAGACTAGCAACTAAACATGGAAATAAAGGGCTGCCTTCTTGTTTATTACAAAATGTACCTTCAGTCTTGCCTGTCAACAAATCAGCACTTCTCTGTAAATTTTCGTGTGACACTCATTCTGTATATTGATTAAATGTTGTTGCTAAATAATAAAAGCTGATGTAAGAATTCTATCTACAAAGCTTCAAACTGATCCACTCTGTGTTTGGTGTTTCCCAAACGGATCTGGCGAAGAGTCTTGTATTTGTCACGACCCTCTTTGACATTCTGCTCATAAATGACATCATGCTTAGTGCTCTTAGTTAAATCTTTCGTAGCCTGTAGTTCAATTGTAAGTGTCTGAAATAAAAACATCAGAAATTATCAATACTAGTTCAAAGACGAACAACAACCACCTCACTGGTTTTCAACTAAAATAAATCATGTCTAAATATCCACTTGAAATATAATGATTTTGTTGTCTTATTCCAATATATTTCAAATTATGAGAAGCTTCTGACGGTAAATACTCACCTTTATCTGGACCAAAATTCTAAAAAAAACAAAACCATCGTACTGACCTATTTAAATGACCTAGGCAAAGGTCTAAAGTTAATATCATGAAAAAGTTAGCCAATCAAAGCTTCAGTTACCAAGTTTTCCTTACACTCACCGCTAGATTTTTCTGTAGCCTTTCATTTTTCTCTGCTTGAGTTACTCTATATTCTTCCGGTCTTATGTTATCATGCTCATCATTTCCAACTAGCTCTGTGCCTGTAATATTGAACATAAATTGCTGTATCAAATAAAATCACTATTTAAATGACTTTATAATAGTAATAAGTAAAAAATCCAAAAATCTGAAAAGCAGAATTCTTTTTTATTCTTAATCATAAGAGCTGGGGAGGTACAGAAGCCATAAATCCCCCTCCCATGTCATACATAAGTGGAGGGGTGGGGTGGGGTGGGGGGGTAGGGGAACATCCACATTGCTATTTTTGCGTAGTGAAAGCCCCCGATTAAAACTCACTTCTTGCAAACCTGAATCATAACTATGCAAAGGAGTGCATCCAATGAAACAATTTATATCATGTTTTATATACCAATTTCTCTTTCAATATGAACCAAGAACAATTTAATTGCACTACACATTTTCAACAAAATCCTTTTTCTTACCATACTCTTTGGTTTCATCTGCCTCTTCATGCTCATGCTCAGCCACGTGATGGTGAGCTGGCGTAGTTGTAGCCAATAAAAATGCTTGGTGGCTCTCTTCATATTGCCTGCGTGTTTCTAACAGTTCCTCTGAAATCCGTTGATTTTCTTCATCCCTCTGTTTCACCTGTTTTTCCTTTTCTTCTGCAGCCAAACGGGCTTCCTCTGCCATTTTCTCCTTCAAGTGATTATGAAATTGCATTTAAGATAGCCAACTAATGTACTTAATCAACTTCTGCATTTTTTTTCTTCGCAAACACATANCCAAAAAACTGAAAAAGCAAAATTTTTTTTTTTTTTTAACCAAAAGGGTGGGGGGGGGTAAAAAACCCAAAAACCCCCCCCCAATGCAAAAAAAAGGGGGGGGGGGGGGGGGGGGGGGGGGGGGGGGGTAGGGGAACATCCACATTGCTATTTTTGCGTAGTGAAAGCCCCCGATTAAAACTCACTTCTTGCAAACCTGAATCATAACTATGCAAAGGAGTGCATCCAATGAAACAATTTATATCATGTTTTATACCAATTTCTCTTTCAATATGAACCAAGAACAATTTAATTGCACTACACATTTTCAACAAAATCCTTTTTCTTACCATACTCTTTGGTTTCATCTGCCTCTTCATGCTCATGCTCAGCCACGTGATGGTGAGCTGGCGTAGTTGTAGCCAGTAAAAATGCTTGGTGGCTCTCTTCATACTGCCTGCGTGTTTCTAACAGTTCCTCTGAAATCCGTTGATTTTCTTCATCCCTCTGTTTCACCTGTTTTTCCTTTTCTTCTGCAGCCAAACGGGCTTCCTCTGCCATTTTCTCCTTCAAGTCATTATGAAATTGCATTTAAGATAGCCAACTAATGTACTTAATCAACTTTCTNTAACAGTTCCTCTGAAATCCGTTGATTTTCTTCATCCCTCTGTTTCACCTGTTTTTCCTTTTCTTCTGCAGCCAAACGGGCTTCCTCTGCCATTTTCTCCTTCAAGTGATTATGAAATTGCATTTAAGATAGCCAACTAATGTACTTAATCAACTTCTGCATTTTTTTTCTTCGCAAACACATAATTATCTAAGTTTACCATAATATTTGATCATTAAATCACACCAGCAATTACGTAACAATATGTTGACTCTAAACTTGAATCTACAACAGATTTAATTTATATTCGGTTAAAGTCTTACTATTTTCTCTCTTTCTTCCTTCTCTAGATGAACTGCTTCCTCAGCTTTTCTACGCAGTTCTTCTGCCTCTGCCTTCTTCTCCTGCAATTCATTGCGATCTTGTTCTGCTTGCCTGGCTTTCTCTTCTAGCTCTCTTACCCTTGCCATGGTGGCTTCAAGTTCTAAACAAAGAAATTTGCAAGGTGAATGGCACTCAGAAAATAATAACTATAGGCAGGCTTGCTGCAAATTTTTCAAATGGAATTTTTCAAATATATATAAAAGTAATATTATCCTAATTACCAGCTTTGGATCGCTCAGATTCCTCCTCAAATTGTTTCAGTCTTGCTTGGAGTTCAGCACGCTCTTTCTCTGCCTCTTCTCGAGCATGCTTCTCTGCCTGTAAGCGTGCCCTTTAATAACAATAATAAAACAGTATATACCTTTTACTTAAGGAACTACAGAAAGTACAAATCTCCCTTGTAAAAGATTTGAAACACTGATAAAAATACATCTTTTCAACATTTTAAAGACTTCAGTAGATATGCATTTCAGATATACTTATGTAAATCTATCAGAATAGTCAAAAAACTAATCACAACTACAAAAATAAATTAAATTACGTAGACTTTTCAAGACAAAAGACAAAGGCAGGAATGAACTTTAATTCTGCAAGCAGTTTAAAAATGTGGTGAAAAAAATGTAATACATCTACCTCTGCTATGTCAGCCCTGTTTAACACCTCATTGGCCAAAAGATATAAATTAACATCACCCAAATTTATTTATATTTCGAAAGTTTTGTGTCTTACAAAAATATATATATCACTGTTGACAAGCCAAAAATCCACAGGCCCTAGGTTATGTATCATGTGGATTCCTCTCGATTTACAATGAAGAACAACAATTCACACCTTTCCTCATCTCTGTGAGTCTTCTCCTCTTTAGCTTGAGCTTTCATCTGCTGTACTTCAATAGTGTCTGGTTTACGACGTCGCATGTACAGCTCATGATTGCCCATGCATAAGGCCAAAATGCGTTTGTTAATTCTCAATCTCTCTGCATAGAACACAAAGTCCTAGAAGCAACAAAAGTAAAACATATTATGTATTTAATTAGATAATACATATCAATCTACCCACGGATCAATGGTTTATGCTGCTGGTTGCATTCTTTAGCACAATGTTGCCCTACTTGTCACCTTAAGAGTGAGAACGGCTTGATAGCCATAAAAACTGAGAAACATTTCATGGAGTAACACTTGGGAAAGTGTATTAAAAGTTTAACAAAATAACTTACAGGGGCTTTCTTGTCAATGGGTTTAATGACAAATTTTTTGTCATTGAAAGAAATATTCCTTATCTCACTCCAAGGGAAACCTATTTTGGGATTTAATCTGAAATAAAAATTAAGACGTTTGAAAAATAATTCCACAAATGTCACAGCTTTGTCTACTAAATATATTGTTTATAGGGAGAATTATTATGCTAACAGTACATACTTATCAATCTTCCCAGCCATTTCCCATAGGCTGATTTACATAGGTTACATAGGTTACATAGGTCCCATAGGTTGATTTCAAGTGCCAGGGGATTACAAAAAGACACAAATTAAGTGGCTTAAGGCTTGCAATGTGCTTGAGCTAACAAAAAATTCACTCTAATAATATTTTAAGTGTAATGAAATTAGCAATATTTTTGAAGCAGAAGAATGCACTGATTGATCTCAAACTCCCAAATGAAATGAAAGGATACCCTAGTTGTAATCCCTCACTTTAATATGAAAGCTTGGGTCTGTGTATATTCTGAAAATTGGCACAAACAAACAAAACAAATATATATATATATATATATATATATATATATATATATATATATATATATATATTGCAAAAGCTTCCATTTTTACAAAATTTTGGCCTGTTTGACCTTGAAATAAAGTTCAAAGGTCAAATCCAAGCACATATTTGGAATATCCACATGACTTTCGGTCAGACTTCTATAGTAGCTTTTCCCATAATTCCTTCGGTTTGGGAGATGCTTAACATTTCATTTTGCAAATTTTGGACAAGGGTGCATTGCAAGCACCACACAGAGCCCAAAATTTACATGGATTGAGTTGAGATTATGTGTGACTTAAATCCAAGAGTTGGGTACACAGGCCCTTGTAGTCTTAGAGGAGAAGCTGTAATGATGATATGGTGGGGGACATGGCAGATACTAGACAGGTCGGGCCTAAAACCATGGGTGCCACCAGTGCCTTCGCTGGTCGTACAATTATTTATGTTGTGTTACAACAGCAACAAAAAAAAAATCATTGCCAAAAATATTCCATTTTAGTCCTACCTATCATCTTTTTCATAGATGTTCAGACCTAGGGCATCAACCCCAAGCCATAATTCTGTTCCCTTTTTGTTCTTGATTTCAAAGAAGTTCACTCCATACATTTCCAAATCTTGAGCAATCTTGAGGTACTCTAACATTGCATCCTCTCTGTAAAACCACAAAGTAAATTCATTTGTTTACAATTTCTTAAAATTATAATAACCTTTTTAAAGCAATCATTTAGATTTACTGTGTGTGTGTGTGTCCCCCCCCCCCCTTTATAATGTACTAACAAACATTTCCATTACATAATTTGCAACCAATCGAATACATCAATCAAAACTCAAAGGTTACTGTGTTAAATCTGTAAACCCTTGGTAATTCTTTTTCTACCCCCCTGTTAATCTGTTCATGTAGATCAATACATAGTCATGCAATTAACTTAATAACCATCATATTTTCTTTGACTCGCTGAAATCAATACCTGAATAGAGACCTTTCATTATTCAAATCCCATAAATCTTTCACAGTAACTTTTCAGCTTAAAGTGAAATGCAAGAATGATTTATGACCTGTTACTTTTCTCTTGATTTTTAATTAACTCTTCTTACTCTGACATGCCAAATTACTTGTAATTAAAAAATAAATTAATACAGACTGTTAAGCTTTTCTGCACTAGATTTCATATGAATACCCTTACAGACACAATAATGCAAGCTTTTATAGCATTTTAATTGCTTCTTAACACTAAAATCATTCTTTCAAATCATTGTTTCCAAAACATTCTTTGCCATTTCTTTCCTATAAACCTTCTGAAGTTCAGATTTTCTTTTTCACAATTTCTTAGTTTTTATTGTTTTGAATAGAATGTTTTAAGTTATAAACGTTAATTAAACTTGAAACCCAAAACAAAAATTTACCACCGATGCTTTAAACTGAAAATCTTTTGTTAAAAATACACAAGCTTTTTTTTCTTTACATCAAAATGCCCTTTTATTGTTTGTGAAAAGAATGACATGACCAAAAAGGCCACCTTATTGAGGGATAATGTAGTTTCTTTCCAAGGTGTTTCAGCTGACACTGGTACCTGCTCACATACCTGGGCAAATCTTTATGCTCACTCCACCAGGTGAGGATTTTCTTCTCCCATTCTTCTTTAGACATGGTATGCTGGTCCATAACTCTGGAATTTTGTTTTCATATCTCATATTCTCTACATAATTAACTTTGTGCAATAATTCAGTTGAACACAAATTCCACATTGGATGTTTGCAAAACATGTTTTACAAAATTTAAAAAATGCAAGTATTCTTTATATTTGAATAAAAATATTATAATTTTACTATATATATTGGCTGTAGGTAGGTTCTGATTTGTGCACAAAGTTATACACCATATAGTAATCTGCCACATTCACAAGAGCATGTTAACATTTTTTATAGCATCCTGATTATGACATACAGCATTCTGTAGCGTTAACTGAAGTAGAAGTACATAACACCCTACAGCTGGGCTGGGTCAGCCATTCACTTAGTACATCAAAGTAAGACATATACTTCAGTAAAAATTACCTCTGCGGCAGAAGCCTCTCATTTTCCAAGAACCCCACATCGTGCTGCTCTGGGTCATAATCAGAGTACTTGGCTTGTACTGCATAGGAAGCAAGCAACACAGCAGTCTCTGGAGGGCAGTAGACATCATCATTCAAGATCAGGTCTTTTACTTGCAAGAAAAACATACGCTGAAAAAAATGAATATATGTATAACATTTTCTTCTTTTCATTGCTCAGATGACAATGTAAAGCATGCATACTTGAAAACAAAGGCACAAGCAAGATAGGCAGAAAAGAGGCCAGTGTCCAATACTACATAGACAAGAAAACTGACAAAATCCCCTGTGCTCATAACTTGAATTCACCCTTCTACTTCTCCACTCTTATTTAATTACTCTTATTTACATAAAAACCTAGGATAAAGACTTTTTCAAGAATAGGTCTTCCATTACACAGGCTTTTTATACTCTCTGACCACAGGGTGCGCTAGTAGTCTGAAATTTTGTATACTTTTCGAGAAGCCCCTGATTTCAGATGGTAGTTTTTCTTTTTACTGCAGGGTCTTTTTGCTGTACATAATTTATTACTAAATGTTCGAGTATAAATTTCTGTTGAACTTTGAATCAAGACTAACAGCAATGTCTGGGTGTCATCCAACATGACCCTTCTGTATTCCCTTACAATTACTCCTCAGGGCAATCCACAATGTTACAGGTCTAAAGGAAGACCTTATTTGTCTGCTTTTTCTTTTCTATACATCATCTTTTTTTCTAATATCAAACCAACAATATTCTTTTTTTTTTAATTTTACCTTGGCATATGTGCATTTTAACTATCATGACAACAATTTTACTACATTTAATGCTAGAAGCTAAAATATTCATTGTTAAATGATATTTTTTTCCTATTAAATGGCTGCAGAATAGAATGCTGGACATGCCTCCGGTATCAGTATAACTCATGGGCAGTAGCCCTTAAAAAATCTGTCAAATGTCCGGCTTGATGAAATATTGAAATACATGAAAAACAACAGCTGCACAATAAAGCAAGTTTTGCAACATGAACAGAGCCTAAATATAAATATGATGAATAGTTGAGAGGGCAATGGCCAAATACAGACCCAAAGAAGATATTGTTGCTGGTGCAGCCTGCACGGCATCATTTAAGCACACCAAATTTTTCTGAACATACCAAAGACAGGGAATGGCATGATTTATTACAAAGAGGTTGCACAGCATACCACAAATCTACATCCTCTTTTCCTCATCTCATGCACAATGATGTCATACGAAAAAAGACACAAACATTGCAGTATCTGTGAAATCATCTTCAATCTATAACAGAACCATTTCTTGACAGTCCATTTCTTAAGGGTAGTATTGCCTCATAATTACACACACACACACACACATACACACACACTTAAAACTATCTCAAAATCATGAAAAAATTTAAGGTGTTTTATTTATTTCATTAGCTTTATTATACAACATGTCCTTTTTGTACTAACTGCCCAAGGTATGAAAGACTACTTTTGGTCTAACTAAACTGATGAATCTGCATTTTATAGATTTTTTAATAGTGAATTGGTGATGTACTTTTGAACAATTACATGTAGAATATCCAAAATATTTATTAAAAACATTTTTCACTTTAAAAAATTAAAAACATTTGAAAATAATTAGAATATTTTTATAATGTAGTGAAAACAAATTCACAGAAAGGTTATTTTTATATATATCAGTACAAGTAGAAATCTTATGTGGTTTCTAGGGCATCTTTAAACTGACCAAATAATCTTATGTGGTTTCTAGGGCATCTTTAAACTGACCAAATAGAGGCTTATAATTCTGGTGCATGTAGAGGTATAAGAAAGGGCAATGTCCTCCTTTTTTTAATTATAAGCTCCTTCACCTATTCACTTTTGCAGAGATAGCACCTTCAACTTATCAATGTTTCTACGTATATTTGGGGAGCACATTTCTGTGACATGAGCAGTTATGTTATCAACTACAAACATCTGGTACATCATTGTCTGGATGTAGATTTCCACTAAATAATCTGAAGGAATTTTTGCCTGGATGAAAAAAATGTTCTAAATAGTATCTGGCTGTTGCTTTAGCAAGATGAATAACAATTATAATGTTTATACGTGCACATGTTTTTAATTGTGACCTTGGTTATGCTTATAATTAGTATGGATAGCATAAAGCCCACCCATTCTGCACCTTTTCACAAATTCCTTTAAGCTAGCCAGACATGTTCAATAATATGCTAGGACTGTTATATATTGCCAGGCATGACAGCCAGGAAAGAAACCTAATCCTTCCAATGACAATGAGTGTTAAAGAATGCAGCACGAGGTTTTAACAACTAGTGTTTTTAGAAATTTTCCATTGCCCAAATTTGTTTGTTCATTTGTTTGTAACATTTATGGTGATTATGACTAAATATGTCCAGTTGCTTTACCTTATAATGGAACATAATGAAACAAACTAATATTTAACTGATTAAAGCCCTTTAAGACTAAATTATTAAAACAACTCAGTATATCACTCATCCTAGCTTTTACATATGGGAGTGACTTGGCAACAGCTTGTAAAAACATCTATTCACAATGTGCTTTTATGGTGGTATATATAGAATACATATTAAACAGAGCAGATGGAACGGCCAGGAAATCAGAAACTGTATAGAGAAAACACATTAAATTTCAAAATTATATTCATTCTGAGAAAACAATAGTGGAAGTCTGCATTCTAACATATGCAGATCCAATTACAAATTGCACTTGCCCCTTTTCCATTACAACTTAGAGCACATTCTGTATTGAAGTTGATCCATGGACTAACAGATCTGCGGGACAAATATGGCCAACCATAGCTCGCTGCATAATCTCCTAATGGACACTGAATAGATTCCCTACAGGGATTACGTAGCAAGCTTTCAAATAAGTTAGCCACATTTGATCTGCAGTTCTGTTAGTTCGAGGATCAACTTTGGTTGTGAACGTGGCCTAAATGGAGAGTTTCACCACTGCAATGCAGCTGTCAATATTTCAGATATTATTTCAAGACCCACTACATCTGATTTTTTTTTTCTAAATCCACCTGTGCTTTGCCAGACACCCAGACATAGCACTTGCACATTATAACCTTCAGTGCTTATTGGGTGCACATTCTTCACTCTTTGAGCAATTACCTCAGGAACTCTGTAGAGAAAAGGACCACTGTATATCTTGTAGCTTCAGTTTTTTATTGCCTGAGTATGATACTTAGATGCATAATATAATATCCCTAGATAAGATGCGATAAACTTTTAAATAGTCGTGAATCTGCATCCACTTAAAGTCACTAGCTCCTATTAAACAGTAAAACATTTTAAAACTTACTGTTTGGAGTTTTTTTTAAACAGATAAAACTTTTGGTGGCGAATTAAAAAACTATAAACAATCATACAAACAAAAGCCCCATATATAGGTATATGGTTATAACATGGGAAAGAGTCACAAAGCTGTATCATATGTTAGCCTTTAAGTTTATCTTGAAGGGACTTCCTAATATCATGTGCAGTCTCAAGCAGACATTAAGGGAAATGCCTGTTACTTGAAAGAGAAATCAAATGATAGAAACTTACCTGTGTGACTTCCTGAATCAACTCTTCAGCCACATCTTCTGGGTAAAACTTGGCACGGAATTTAAACTGGAGGGGAGACTCCTTGCGAAGGTCTTGACTTAGTACCTAAAGATCATTTTGAAAATAGGAGAAATTAAATGATTTTTCTTCTTGAAAATTAGAAAATCACTCCACCCCCCCACCCCCTCGACCTGGTCAATTAATTCCACTAAACAGTAGGAAGTAAACCTAAGAACTTGTGAAAGGGAGTAAAAACCTCTGTAACATAATTAAATGTTAGAATCTGTCATAGTGAACCAGAACACACGGTATCAGTTACTGTATATAAGTATAGCACTAGATGTAAAAAAGGGCCTAGGTCAAACAAGCACAACAAAATTCAGGAGTGAGATTTTAGTGTTGCTGAAAGGAATCTATCAAGATGCAATTTAGTATTCAACACCAGTAAATTAATCAAGAAAAGTTGTCAGTGATAAGTTCAACCTTAGAGTTCTAACTGGACCTATTTAGCTAACCACCTTTTATACTTCCAGTATCAAAAACCAATAACTTGATTGCCTTTTTTTAATAATAATCTGGTGTCTTAATCAGGAATATGACCTCTACATCATGGTTGCTTGCTTTAACTAGCACTAAGCTTGTGTGTGCTTCATCATAAGTTATTACCACCACAACTCTGCATATTCTGTTAATGAAATGTGGGTACATACATTATCTTTCTCAGCTGTCTTTCTCAGTACAGTATGTAAGCGGAGTTGTATAACATATGCACAGATATACATGTGTACAATGGCACAGAGCAATTTAATATGTAAGAGGTCTCTTGCTACAATATTACCAAATTATATTGAGAAACTGTCTTCCTTTCAGTTTTCAGGACCAGCAGTATTCAAGATGATGTATGACCTTCGTGTAGCTGTTGACTGACTCTGAATCATAATCTTTGTTTGTACTGAATTTTTTTTTCTGGACTGAGAATGTCCAAACACCAGGCTAACACTACTTTCAATGTTTTTACCATGTCTGCATAACATACATATAGCTTGCTCTTTCAGTGACAAAAATGGTATTTATATCTTAGAAGAATTCTAAAGAAAATGTTATCTCTAACTCCGTGCAAATATTTGAATGATGAAGCTTGAAACCCAATGGTCCCCACTATCCACATGCAGTCTTCATAAAATTTTCTGACCAGTAAGGCAAAAGATAATTTGATGTTTTGGGGCATATGACTTAGTCTTTTAATTGAGTGATCTCAATGACCCCATTCCCAGAGATTAGATTGATCCTAGATCAACCTAACTCCTTGGGGGTTCACGCTAAATAGCTGTCAGTCGAGAGGGCACAAAAGTTAATTACCCCCATACAGCTTGTAGTAGGCAGGACGGACTATCTGACAATAATCTAGTGAGACTCCCCACGGGGATAGATCGATCTAAAATCTATGAGAATGCGCCCAATGTATGTAACAATATAAGAGAGGTAGTCAGCCATTTCAAGTAGCATAGTAGACTTGTTACATCTGTAACAAGAGATGCTGCTGCCAAATTTGTTCAGTGTTTCCAGACTAGATCTACCAGTGCAGGCAACTTCCATGGTACAGGAACCAGATGCATGGTTTGAAAATGTGTTATCCTGGTATTATGTAAACCAAAAAATCAAACTAGTGGGGCCTTGTTGGGCAATATATCTTCCTAATGTTTGTTCACCAGAGGAACTGCTTAGCAGTCTTCCATACATCAACCTCCTGCTGCTTGTAAATGTGTTCAAAACTCATTGGAGTCACATATTACTGGAAAACATCTTACTCTAGGTCTAGGATACTGGAGCTTAGTATATTAATGTACCTCCACATAGTGGTTTAAAAAGTGTTCATAGTTTTATCTATATTTACATAGATTCTTCATATCATATGCACGTGCGATCCATCATAAAACCTTAGTTACACAAATATAATGATATAATGACTGCAAACCCTTAAAATCTTCCGATGTGCCCCAGTTCTCTTTTTTCTCCATAAGGACAACACGCCTATAGAGTTAATTTCATGACTGATTTACAATTCAGTCCCTAGGGGATGCAGACATGGCAGAATTTATAACCAGGTACTTTAACCGAATATTAACTTCATGACATAACTGCAAAACAGAAAATGAAACAGAAGTGTGCTTTAACACAATGTTACACCTTGGTTTTACTTAGAGCTGACAAGTTATTCAAGATTTAGTAACATTGTTTATAAATAGAAGAAGAACAATAAACTTTACCTTTTTATTGAGTTTAAGCCAAGTGTTATAGCCCTTGCTGTCAACATACTGAAGGCCAAAAAACCAAATCTCTCGAAGACCAATTGTCTTCACCACCTGAAATAAATTACATTTAATGAAAGCACAAATGGAAAAATATAATTTATAAGTCCAAGTTCAATTTAACATTTCTGTGCAAGCTAACTACTACATTTTCAAGTTAAAATATTATAATCAAGTTTTTGGCACTGAACTTTACGAGAAATGTTTTTGTCAAAGATTCCATTCACTGAGCTTGAAATTAAAATATATATGAAGCATTCTAAAATAATAAATAATAATAATAATAAAGCTGAACATAAACATCCTAAAGTTCAACCAGATTAAAACCAATAAAATCTTTCAAAAAGGAGGTTTAGATTTTTGGCAAAACTTACTATAAACACTCTATGTAAGATATTGCAATTTAGTTGTTTACTTAACCCAGTCACATAAGTCTACATAGAATAAAAAAGTATGTGATAACCAAAAAGTATCAAAAAGAAGTGCTTAGATGCCCACGTAATCTTCAGTATTATGTGTATACGAACTCAGAAAATAAAAAAATTCCAAGTACCTTAATATTATGACAACAGATATAATCTAATTTTCCATAAATATAAGAATAGCTTAGCATTTTTTATGTATCAAATAAAAACCAAATCTGTATGTTGAATGAATATACATGAATACATTCCATAAAAAAACAGAATAACACAGTATATAGTTATTATAATAGAAAGGAAGGTTAAGGAGAAACCAGGGCAGTAAGTTGCTTATCAGCAAACACATTACTTCTTATTCAATCACCTAGACAGAAAAGAGTACAAAATGACAGCTGGCTCTGTAAGGGACATACTTTTAGCATAAAGGTCCTTTTTGTCCAACCTACCTGGTCAAAGAGCTGCTTGCCTGTTGTGTTTGGCTGGATGGCAAACTCCAGCTCTGCATCCATGGTGGTGACTCGAACATTGACCTAAAATATATATTATCGTTTAAATTATAAAATTAGTGAACATTTTTTAAATTAGGTACTTCGGTTTCTGCAAACTGACATTTTACATTTTTAACTTTGATAATCAAAGGTCTATATTAAGATATCATTCTTCATTGAACTAAAATGATAATGTGATCTGATCAAGAATCATTGCACACATCACTAGACCCATATAAGGATTAGAATTTGACAAATAATAATACATTATATTTCATTTACCACTAAGGCCACAATTTAAATATTTGTTAATTGCAGACTATATTCACACGGCACAAGCATATAACATGACAAGATAACATACACTTATATAGCTTCAAATTCAGAGCTAATGTGTTTGTTCCCTTGTCTAACTGAAGCTGTTCAAGTTAAAAAACAAATGACTGCTGTCAGTCTTTCATAAGCAGCAATATAATTCTATTGGATTATCATTTACCCCTTCCCCTCCAAAATACTTGATGGCAGCTCTATAAAACAATATATATCTATTACATTTCAGCAAAATTTTAAATATTTTCTTGTGAAATTCATTAAAAGAGCATATGCAGCTGCATTGGATTTTAATAATGACATGTATACACTTGAGCATAGTTTTCCCTTAAATGCTCACTGCACAATGTTTAGCACTTGTGGAAGTAGAGATATCAAAGAAGTTCCTTTAAGTTTAGTCATATTAACTTATCTAATGGCTTATAAGTAGGTTATTAATGATAAAGGATGGATGTTCATCCATTTATTCTTTCTTTTCTTGGTATATCAATATTTTCTTGTTAGTGTATCACCACTTTGTCAAAGTTCAGGCCTGATAAAACTGAAGACCTAGTACATACCTCAACAAAAGAGCTTAAAGCTTGCATCTTAATATCTGACAACATACTACTGTAAACATGGGTGTAGTCTTATAAACAGTAATGAGATAGCTCATAAAAATGTCTAGATGTGAATCTTGGCATTAACATCCATCAAGACAAAAACACTATAGTCAAATAATTTTACACAACACTGCCTCTAACTAACACTCCTTAAGAAATTCATTTTCAATTTGTAAATTTAATGCAAATTATGTAACTCTATTAATATAAATGTATCATGACAAAATAAGCCCGTAAGGTCTTACAGACCACTCCCAACTATTCCAATGTTTGCAAACTAGTTTGATCACTACACTGTGACTACACCCTATTTTAAAGCAAACAAGAGATTTTGGCAATTAAAAGCCCATATCAATATATCTAAATAAAAATTAATACATGTCCTTACCTTAGGGTGCATTGTAAATACATTTAACCAACACGGCATCAATTCTAATTTTTAAGACTATGCTTTGGTTCTATACAGATCTATTAGGCATAACCTCCCTTAACATGAGGCTGTTACTGTTTAACACAAATGGTATTGGATTAGAAAAAATCTGTCACCAAAATATGTACCAATTCACAGATGGTTGGCAATCATTTTTCTAGTATGACTTTTCAGAAGGAACAGAACTGCTCATCTAACTATGAATATTACATAATTAAACAAGCATTCATATATTTCGTATTGAATTAACCTGAGTAACCCTGACCAAAGTCATACATTTGTTTGAACAGAAAAAAATATAAGTACTCTTAATATAATATGAGTATAAATCTAGACATAAAATATATTGGAAGTTTTTAGCTAAAGTAAGATTGAACTTTTTACAATGAGTGAGATATGCTTTTTGATTGGACATGTGCATGTATTTATGGCATTATTAAAACTAGTACTCTAGGTCAGTTTCGATTTTTCTACAAACAAATCACTAAACACAAGTGACACTATTTCATCAAAAGTAAATTTAATATTAAAATCTTGTCTCCTCTGCAAAAAAAAAAAAAAAAAAAATCTTGATTCCAAATTCCTTTACCCTAATATATGTACAGTTGTCAGTCAAACCATTTTCAAAAGATATAAATATAAATGAACTTTGTGTGTAGCTGTCAGTTTGTGTGGCATGCATTTACATTAAGATATTAACATAAGTTATCTTGGGTCTGAATACTTTCTCTTCTAACCTGACCTTTTTGCAGATTACTCATTCAATGGGGTGGACTGGTATATTTGCATAATAGTCAGGTCATATTCACTGCCACCTACACAAATCCACCATATTTTTACAGTAGTTGGTTCAAGTTACATGAAACTTAGTCCAGCTCCAATTAAATGAGTCAGCTGGATATAGTATTAAATAACCAACATGTGTCCTCATTCATAAGTTTTTAAACACATTAAAAATAATGTTACATCATTTCTGCTTAATGAGCAAAAAGCATAGATGTTACTCACATGAAGGTCATTAGATGTGACAACTTTCTTGCATGTGACAAGTACAAAAATAAACACACAAAAATAATATTTAATGATACTCTAACAATTCAGAGGTACTCGTACCTCTGTTCCATATTTCACTTTAATACATCCTATACCATAACTTTAGAACCATCAACCTGTATTTTAAACAATTAATTATAAAAACAAATAATATAATTGTAAATATATATAAGATAATAACAGAGAGACACCTGACGAAACAAAGCGGATAGCTCGCAATACTAGGACCTCTTGCAATAAACCATTACGGTATTACTATTTGGCAGTTCTTGTTTTCAATGAATTACAATTTAAACTCAATCCGCAAAGAACCGTCAGTCTTTGACCGTAATTTAAAGATGCATTTACCACATTTCTCAACAGCAACTTGCACTTACCGTTTTTGGTGCCATTTTGCTGAGTTTCTTAGTGTGAAGACTTCAACTCAACAGTCTAAGGTGAGGGTGGGGTCAGCTTTCTTGTCTTGAGCGAGGCGGTATCCTCTGGGTTGCTAAGGTTAGTCACAAAAGATTTATCGCCTATCAAAACCAGACAGCAAATACAATAATAAAGTGATTCTCTGATATATCGCCTTTAAAGAAAGGTTTTCAATGTGTCAAATCCCCACGTGCGCCTATGTATCCCGCTCACAAGTTGCCCAAATATACAATCACCTCCTTGAAGAAAAGCAGATTTATCCTTCACATGCAAAAGAGCTCTGCGGCTTTTAGAACGTAATGTGTTCTAACATATGACACTGGGTCTTCACCTATATTCCCACAAGACTGTTATTTAAAAATTCATTTTAAAGTATACCTTCAATATTTATATTTTTGAAGCCGAAGAACCTAATATTTTAACATTAATGAAATGACGTTATATGTGCACAAGGGCTATCTTGACACGTCAGACGGCGCTGAGATCGAACTGTGTTGATGGTGGGTTGAGTCTTGTTGTATTTTATTTTTCATAAAATTAAATGATTTGGTAATTAACTACGTTATAATCTAGATATCGCCTGTAAAGTGATGAATCATCGAAAAACAGCGAGTTTTGCTGTTATTTTTCAAGTGATGTATTCAGTTACAATTTGACAGATTTCCATTAGTTTTACTATCAAGCCTTGGGTGCAGTTTAGATTGGACACCGAGATGCACATGCAGAAACGTCACCGATAGGTACATGCACAGTGCAAAGTTGCATGTGTTAGCACTCCTACCCTTTCTAATATGTACACATGCTAACGCATAAAAATGTACAGGTGCTCATTAATCGCATTCAGAATCTGTTTATGGGAGTCTGCAACGAATGTGTGAATTCATAACTGCAAATGGTAGATGAGCAGATGAATCTTACCTCATTCACAGCAATGTAGGCGGCAATACAATAATGCCTTTTCAGCAGAGTATGTGCAACTTGAATAATTGATTTTCACTTATAACTCATTAACTCACAGGAATGATTCATATAGGGCTAAAATATGAAGTTTTCATATATTATGCTTTCATTTTTCACTAACTTAAACTTGCATTGTCCAGGTGTGGGCTTGAATATCCATGGGTATAAATCCCTGTGCTTATGTTACATTTTAGAATTTCCACAAAAACAACTTAAAGTAGTGACATGGTCAAAACTACTCAGTAGTAGTGATTATGTTATTAAGCATTTTGTAATATTGTGTCAAAATTGACAAAAAGACATTTTGTGCTCTTTCGACATGAAATAAGTAGATTAATTATCATTTTTAGACTTTTGATGCACTGCCATTATATTTCATAATATCTCTGTAAATTTGACAGTTTTACTGATTAGTTTTGTGTAAATTTAATATTGAATTGCCTCATCCCTCAAGACTATCGATAGAACCATGAAATATACATTGTGACTCAAAAAGATGTTCTAAGACATACAGGTGCTAGGATATTTCTACATTGTGTTCCCATGCCAATCAGTTAAATACTTAGGCAGAAATAAAAAAGAATTTTTGAGAAAAATAGACAACTGTATTGTCTTTTCACAAATAGAAACAAGTTAAAGATACGACAACTATTCATTTTGAAGGGGAAAGTACCATGAAATGAATTTTCCATACATTTTGGAGGTAAATGCAACTATTAATACTTCTACAGTTTGTGTTTGATAATGTTTTGAATATGGAATTTTGAATGATATATGAACAGTTGTCATTGCTTAAAGGGATAATAACTCTTCGTATGAGATCTATATTTCACAATAAAACCACTGTAAACAATTAACTCATAGAAATATAATATATATTCTGTTTTACCACAAAAAACGGCAGTTATAGCTATTTATTCTGATATCTGAGCTTGTCATCGGACCACGTGACCTCCGTAGATGGCTATACTCTTAAGAGATTATAACAAAAAACAAACTTTTTAGAAAAAACCAGGGACTAACTTTGAATGTAGAAATGAATTCATTAACCATTGGTAAGTATGGGAAAATTGTTGTTTACTCCAGGAAAATTCATTTTTTGGCCAAAACGAACAGTTACTATCCCTTCAAGCATTCGGCCAGAGGGGAATGCAAATAAGTGATACAAATCTCAAGTGAATGCACTATGATATGAAAGTTTCGCATAATTGGGAATTTGATTTGATATAACCCTAAGCTGACCAAAATAACAATTAGAAATATGAGATATTTTTGTCAATTTTGAAAAGGGGTTATATTTATTTATAAACTTTTTTCTTGCAGATCTTGGCACTGATATGGGAGAGGAAGAACTGGGAAGTTTAGGATTGCAAAAGATGGTTTTTGTACCCCCAAAAGTTACATTGTCTAAACCTCAAATGAAAGCAGGGTCACTGTCAGGTATATTGCTGGTACTAATAATGTGAATACCTTAGAATGTACATCATTTTGAATTGATATCATTGTACATTTCAAGTACTTACATAGTTCCTCTGAATTTTGTTTATTAAAGTCAGAAAACTTCGTCACTAAAAATAAAACAAATGATATGTTTTTCTAGCTTTATAAAAAAATTATTCATGTTTTAAGGAGCTGAAATGTGACATGACCAATTTTTTTAACATTAAAAAAGTGGGATTACTAAAATTTGTTTGAGCCAATTTTGCTGCCGAACACCAAGGAAAATGTCATAGAACATAAAGAGATTCAAGCATGGTATGTTTTTGTAACAGGAAAGAGATGCCTTATCCTGATTGTGATATCCCTGGTGGTCTTAGTCATATTGCTGAGGGCCCTGTTGAACTTGAGGCCAACATTTATCAGCTTTCATGTGGCTAGTGATATAGATGGAGAGCTGGTTGTAGTTCCAAAAGACTTTGCAGAAGCAAGAAGAGCAGCTTGCTTGGATGGGTCTCCACCAGGTTTTTACATCAGGAAAGGTGATTAACTTTTTATTATTATTATTATTATTATTATTATTATTATTATTATTATTATTATCAGGCCTTATAAAAGGATTAGGCATTTACTAGCACTACCCGCAGATATTTTAGCACTAATGCCCATATTAACCAAATAACCTACAAATTAATCAAAGCCTCACTTGATTGTAACTGCTCAAAACCACAGGCCTTTCGTTATCTGCATTTTTTCAAGAAGCAGTGTTGCCAAATTGGATTTGCTCCACACTTGTGGACACTGTTGTCAGAAATGACAATTTTGAAGTCCAATTATCTATATCAAAATGACACTTAATTCCAACAAATATCCTTGTACAACTACAGTGTGCAAAGCAAATATACAGTAATTACTTGATCTTTTCAGAGGGGAAAATGGTGAATTTTACAGATACTGTATTTTTAAGTCGTAATTTCTTAAAATAAGAACATTCCTGTTGAGGGGTAGCAACAAAATCAAAAAGCAGGCCGCTCTATAGTTCTGTTCTATGCAGTATAAACACCACAAATACTATACAGAAATGTAATTTTTGTGATTATAAAATTATGCATTTGAAAGTTAGATAATTTTTGCCCATTGCAAAGATCAAGTCATTGCCATATATACATGCCTCATAATGTATACTGTTAGATTTTTACAGGAACCACTTTCCTTTAATGATTCCCCCCTATTGAACATTAAATTTACTGACAGTCACAGGTTGAATGCTTATTTAACAAAAGCTAAAAGCTACAAATTGAGTACTTTCAGTAGTTTTCCTTCTGTTTAACTTTCCTTTTGTTTAAATGTTTAACATTTTTATGGATCCAACTCATATATCTGTAAAAATATCATTTTTCAGGAAATATGAAGTGATGTCATTTGGTATATTTCCAAGTTGTACTGTTTGAAACAATATGGTGGCATCATAGTCGGGTTTTGTGGCAAAAAAACACTTCATATGCGTCTTGAATGATTCTAGGATTCCATGTGGGAAAGAGAGACTGGATTCTGTATTTGGAGCCAGGTGGTTGGTGTGCCACACTGAAAGACTGCTATGAAAGGTATTGTACAAATAATAGTTTGATGCTTAAGTTCAAAATAAAAGATTATATGTTAGTCTTCAGATACATAAACATGTTTTGTTATGAGTCTGATATATACACACATGTGTGCACATACACACACACACACACACACACACACGCACAAAACAATTGTGAATTTTACAGATCCTGTATTTTTTGAGTCAATTTTTCAAACTAAGAACATTCCTATTTGAAAAGCAGGCTACTCTATAGTTTTATCACAGGGGACACTTGGTCTAAGTTACTTCTCCAGCAGGTAATACAGTGATCTGTTTTCCAGAGATCAACTACAAACTGACTGATCTCTACGTTTATTTTTCTGGCTGAGAGATCCGAGTCTCATAAGACAGCATGGACAATCCAGCTATCGCTTCGACTGACCAAATTTACTCTGATCTCCAATCTCTAATCTCTGATTACAAAGTTCTTCTCCTTACATACTAATACACACAAAATACATTACAGTGATTCCTAAATCAAATCAGAGATACTGACAGAATTAATACTATAAGTAGAGACCTTTAACATAATTAAACTGAGACTGACCTAAACTTTAACTAGGGGATGAAGCCATAAATAAAGTTACCTTTTTCAATCCTTTTAAAACTGAAAACATCCTTGGTTACAGTTTCCTTGGAAACTTGGTTGCAGTTATTGGTTTCCAATAAATAAAATACATCAACAGATTCATGTAATATCATTATAACTGAGACATCTGAACAATGTTTACCAAATGTTGATTTAATTTGATTTAAATGTGGAAGTTTCTAAAATGAAGTTTGGCTGTGAAATCACCGCTATGACAGTTCTATTCTATGCAGTTAAATCACCACAAATGCTATATAGAAATGTTTATTTTGTGATTATAAAATTATGTATCTGTATCTGAAAGTTTGATAATTTTTGCCCATTTAAAAGATTGAGTAATTACCTTTTTTTAGGAGTAAAACTCACTTAGGTTCCAGTGAAGTTGCTCCATCTACCAAAGAATTTAATGGCATTTTATCATCTGATCCCAAAAGCAATCCAACCTTTCACATGTGGAACATGGTATCATTACTTTATTGTGATGGGGGTTCATATGCAGGTAATTTTTAAGGGTTCCCTTGTAGATAAACACCATTTATTGTTTTTTTTTAATACACATGTATTAAAATGTAGCTTTAGAAAACCAGTTGCACAGTAATTTTATTGATGACAACTGTTAAGTTCAAAAAAGGACATGACAAATATCAACTTGATAAGAAAGATTTTCATTTGCAATTAATTATGTTGTCAGGTAGTATGGCCAATCCTGTTCTCTACAATGGCAACAAGCTGTATTTCCAAGGCTTCCACATCCTTCAAACCCTAATGGACTTCTTGATAGAAACTACAGATCTGGGGCATGCAAGGAGAGTGATACTTGTTGGAAGTTCAGGTGAAGCTTATGGATGGACCTTTTCATTAAAAAAAAGAGAAATATATATTTTTTTGTATACCATCAACCATGTGGGCCAAATTGCCTCAAAAATGATGTTATATTCAAACAGGATTTATTATGCCTTGGGTCAAGTATCACCAAGTTTGAAAATTAGTATGTTTTTTGATGTTATCTTACTGAACAAGGAATTGAGAATCTTCCTTCAACTTCCAACTTAGTTGAATAGGTAAATGTTGGATAAAGGATCCATTTTTAATTTGATAAAATATTCTAAATATGCCCGTTCATATATTTCTTTTTTCCATTTTAGCTGGTGGCTTAGCAACATTTCTCCACGCAGATTTTATGAAGAGCAAACTTCCACAGTCAGTAAACTTTCATGCCATGGCAGATGGAGGAATATTTCTGAATTATCCGGGGTTCCAGGGAAAAAACCTTGCTGAAGAAACATTCAAAGGTGTCTTTGATCTGCATAACATAAAGGGTGAGATTTTCATCACCATTTTACAAAGAAGAAACAGTTGAACAAGTTCTAAAATTTAACATACTCCCTAGAACTACCGTGCCCTTTGACTTATTTTTCTTTTCATTTTATTTTTCATTCTTAAATAGTTAAAACATTGTAGTAACAAATGCAAAAGTTAAGTGTTCATTTACTTGAGGTCACTACTTGCCTAAAATATGTGGCTTGAATTGAAATTTTGTTTTGATGTTATTTTCCTCTAATTCAGGGTTACAAAGTTAAAATATGCTTTATTCCATATGAACATTTATATGCATATTTCTTTTTTAGAAACTCCATCAGTGAAACAGTGCATTAACAAGCAAGTCAAAAATGAGGAATACAAGTGCTTTTTTCCACTAAATAATAACAAATTTTTAAGATCTTCGATATTTGCTACAAATTCTTTGTATGATACGTGGACAACAAGAAACTTTCTACAGATTTCATGCAGTTATCCAAAATGTGATAATAAAGAAAAAGACTATTTAGATACCCATAGAATGGCCTTGTTAAATGCCACTGAAGAATTCAGAAAGAACAAAAACAATGGTGTATATTTTTTTAGCTGCCTGAGGCACACGCTTTTGCACCATGGTGTATTGAATATGCAAATGGAAATAGATGGAGTTAGTTTACTAAATGCAATAGATTCCTGGTATTTAAAAAAGACTGCATATACTCAGTCAATGAAAATTGATAACAAGTTTGGTACAAATCCATCATGTTCCAAATAATTTATTTTCTCTGCAATGTTCTTTGTTGCAGCTTATTTATTATATGGGGATGTCTTTGGTTTTGAGGGTTATATAATCTTGTACAAAACTTTTTTGATGTTTAATGAGATATGGCTCAGGTTTATCATTTTATTCTTCACAACATTGTTCACAACAAGTTGTTTTAAATGAATCTTTCATACAAGGCAAAAGTTCCCAGATGCAGCTCCACAAACAACCACTTCCCCTAGGCCTGCAGAAGCAACCGAGTTTCCAGCATGTATTTTATTTAAAATGCACATTTAATGAGTGCTTATTGCCACTTAAAAATTATATTTGCACAACTTTTTTATGCTTACTTTGTGCTATATGAACTGGAGGGGTAATAAGTAGCTCAAATTTACACCTGAGAAGTTGTTTTGAAGCATTGTTACACTGCCCAAGAGATTTTTTTTGTGTATGTGGTTTTTATATTGTGCAAGAAATAGGTACTAGTGATTGATATACATTACAGATCTTGAGTTTTTATTGTCACTTCATTAGTATCTTTAATGCTTTTAAATTCATGAATTAATGGTACTTATAAGAATTTTTATCCCAAATCTTAGTTTCATTGAGAAAAATGGCCATTTTATCCTGCCCACATAATCCCTAGACTACGTTTGTTTTGTACCATTTTTAAATAAATGTTATAAACAAACCACGATTCATTTAGGCTACCATCTATCTTCCTGACGTATATTTATATGTTAGAAGGGATTAAAAAATTAGATACTTGTATTTGAGGGGTGTTATCATTTCCAAGGTCTGAATAAGAGTAGTTTTACAGGATATTTAGACAAATAGGAGTTATGGACAGTTTCAAATGTGTATAGAATACCTTTACATGGGACCTTCATCCCAAGGAGTTTGTTGCACTCTTGCTTCAAAATGGAAATACTACCTGTAGATGTATAGGTGTATGGCCAACCCACTCACATAACATCCGTTATAAAGGTTTTACGAGGTGTCTGTGTATTCTGCATGTAACTTCTTACTAGGGGTAGAAGGAACATCATACATATGTTCAAGGAAAATGTCAAAATTAGCAAATAAAGTATGAGATATCCAATTAAGACTTCCATCTTATTAAAATCTTTCGTTTATTTGTTTTGTCACAATTGCTACCGTGGGTAAAAACAGCAGCTCTGTGGCACAACCGATCCTTCTTCTACAGTCACTATACCAAAAGTGGTAAATAACAGCCCGCTTTGCATTTATGCTAGCAACCAATTTATTCAATGTTTTCAACCCATTTACATCCAGTCATGCAAATAATTAGAACTAATGTAAATGTCGCATCAACCAAGCTACGAACTACTGGTTGAATGATGTAGTGCCATTCCAATTTACACTGAAAGACAATAGAAACTTGAGCAGAAACGTATGCATATTTTTCCTTTAAAGGGGGTTGTAATTATTCACTGCAAATTTATTGATGACTTAGTGCTTGGGTAATTGAAACGATGAGTTGTCACAGTTCATTGCACATGGCTTGACCTCTTTGCAAAAGAGGACTAAACACCCATTGGGCAATTTTTAGTGGGTATCTGCACAATTTGCAGATTGGTTTTGGAGGTTTTTATAAAGGCCAAAAAAAAGGTCACCACTGTTAGTCCAGTAAATGGCACCATGCCACAATGATCAAGAGAACAAGGTCTCCATGCACTGGTATGGGTATGGTGCAGGCCTGTTAGAGCTGCAGTGATATAGCCAGCCGTATGGGCTGTTCCCAACCCACAATCAGAAACCTGCCACAACATGACAAGCTCTGTTGACTATAGACCACGTCCATGGTGAAAGAGAGTGACAACTCTCAACCAGGATCGCAACACCTGGACCAGATTAGCTGTGCGAGTCATACAGCATGCAACCCCAAGATCAGTAGCCCCACTGTGCATGGACGCTTTTCTAAGCTGAAGCACGTGCCAACAGATCGCCACCTGCACTGAAACAAACAGAGGCCAAACCAGGTGTTCTCTGTTGTGACTTTGTTTGACAGTTGCCATTTTCTTTTGTTCAGATTTTTGTTGTTTCTTTAAACCTTGAGCATTTTGTTTCCACATGCCAACATCCTAAGCAGAAAATTCATATTCAAGATTCACACAAAAAATCCAGTTTAGAGCTTCTAAATAAAAATTATGTTGAAAAATATTTGTCTCAAAGTTTTTAAAGGCTGTCAGTAAACTTTTCACTACTTGCTACAATTACAATATGACTGCAGTGAAGCTTTGCATTCATGCTAATGATGTTAAATGGGCAGAATATGAGCAGCACAGTTTTATCTTTTCACAAATGGCACATGTATAAGTTGTACAGAGCAAAAACATATGGTGACAAAGTCAGCTGGTCAAAGTCTATTTTTCGTGCATTTTTCATTTTTTTTTTTTACATTTTGTGCATTTCTCTCAAAATGGTGTGAAATCACCAAATTGCCTTCCACAATAGATGTGCGACTTTTACAACAAACATCCTCAACAAATCATTTGTTTAATTTTGCATTCTAGCATTGGCATATCTGTCTGCCACATTATCCCAATTAATGATATTCCAAATAGCATTCACATAGGCTCCTCTGTCATTCTTGTACTGCAAATAATATGCATGCTCCCAAACATCAATGCCCAAGAGTGGAATAAGACCTGTAAAAAGAAATAAAATTCAAATACCATTTTAATTAATGCGAATTAAAAAAAAAAACAATGACACTTCAGTCAATAATGTAAAGTTGATGTTGATTCTTTAAATTTGTTTCTATCCACCTACTATACTGTTACATTGAATCCCAAATGAAAGAAAAAAACTCACTAAATAATTTATATCAAAAACCATCTTACCAAGAGTAGGAAACAAAGAATCTTGATTAGGTCTAACAGCTAGTCTTAATCTCTGGGTGTGAGGATTATAGCCCAACCAACCCCAGCCAGACCCTTGGATAGCCACCGTTTTTGAAATCAGTTCTTTCTTCATGCTTTCAAATCCACCAAAATCCCTATTAATACTTTCCTTAAGATCACCTGTAAGACAAATGTTTTTAATCACCTTCAAAATGAACAAAAGACCCCTTTTTTTTATACCAACAAAATAAGTTTACTATAATTTATGAATACTATATATCATGTAGGCCTACATCTGTACAGATACATCTGTGTAGAATGGAGTGGTGCAAATTTATCTTTCATATTTTTTTAATACACAGGCTAGCTGTGTTCTTACAGCATTCAACAACAATTATGTGACAAAAACAAATTTCATGAAAGTGACATGATTAAAAAATTCAATATCACTGATTTCATTGAATACAGACTCTGGCATTAATGTAGTCACTAAAAATGAAAAGGATATAACTTGAAAAGCTGCAAACTATATTATACACTGTCATATATACTTCTAGAACAGTCACCTGTTGGCTCTCCACCTCCATTTGGAGAAAGGTTTGTCCAGAAAATGGAGTGATTAATGTGTCCTCCACCATTAAAATTCAGTGCAGGCAGCAAAGAAATGGCAGCGTTTGTATCACCTAGAAGATTAAGTTGAAATTGCACATAAATGTTTTCTAAGGCCCCATTCAGAATAGGGGACTAACTAGTCCGAAGGTCAAATATGGCCAACCCACTTGAATACTTGACCACTTGAATATCCCATTGGATATCTATTCAGTGTCTATTAGCGGATTAGATGGCAAGCTTTGTAGTGGGTTGCCATAATTGACCCTCAGACTAGTTGGTCTCCTATTCTGAATCATGCCTAAGATGTTCACATTATGATTAAGAACTGTCATTTTCTCCAAACCATTTTTAAATTAACTTAAGTAACACTAATTGTCAATTTATAAATCATTTTAATTTTAACTCTAAATTTGATCTTTACTATTATTTTGTACATTTTAAATACAAAATCAAAAAATAATAAACAAAATGTGCTGCTAATGTTCCCAGAATTATCTGTACCTTCTGCCAATGCTTTCTCCATTTTCTCTTCTGCAATATTCAAGTTGTTAACATAAGTTGCATGGTGTTTTTTGTAATGGATTTCCATAATTTCTGCTCCAATAACTGGCTCAAGTGCATTGAAATCATACGGCAGATCTGGCAGTGAGTGTGCCAATCTTGAAGCTGTGAACCCCAATGCAGCCTTCTGCTGGGGCACAAACCTACAATTCCAAGGAAATCAGTCTGTTAGTTTAACTCAACAATGGGTAAACTGACAAAAGCTTAAAGTTGGTGTGTATAGTATAAATCAAAACCCTGTTAGCTGGTTACTTGGTGTATTAAACATTCCTATTTTTAATATAAAAATTTTAATCTGAATGTCTGACCTAGAATTAGGCTTTGGGTGCACCCAAGTATTAACAGCATGTATCTAGCCATCCCAGTTCTTTGCCTTTTTACATAAATTAGCCCCACTTTCTCCACTCCATTCTTTCAAATTTCCTATTCAGTTTGTTTGAGGTCTCCCTTTTACTTGCTGTCCTTTCATTCCACCTTCTATTATTGCTCTTCCCATTCCTCTTTCTTAATACATAGCTTCTTAAAATTCTTAAAATTCAATTCTTATAATTGGAACATTTCCATTGCGAAGTAGAAGCAAAATTGAAAAGCAGGCTTACCTATATTTCTACTTTATATAGTAAAAGTACCACAGATTCCATACAGAAATACAATTTTTTCAATGATTCCAAAAACAACCTGCAGGTGCTAGGTGTCGATTGACCTATGAATGATTCTGTATAATACCACAAAATTACTGGTCAAAGTACTAGTACTCATCCCCTATTATTACATATATACAGTATGCATATATACAGTAAACCACTTCTACTACTACTAGTTTCTTTTAGGACTCAAAGTCGGCATGCCAAAGATAAACCCCAAATTAATCACTTAGTCAGGCAAAGAATAGGTTTAAGACTGTACATTCTTCAAATGGCTGATCATACACTTGACCTTGTTACCAGTCCCTGAATTTGTAAAAGTTTGCCAAATGAAATAGTTACGTGTGATGCAGCATGCATGTGCAATTGCATAAATATTTAAATGAGGGTTGGAGGAAAATACTGACCTCCTAATTCAGTGCAGGTACACTGGTTGATGTTTATGTATTGTTCAATTTTATATATACTGTATTTCCACACAAGCCTTGCCAGTCCAAATAATTTATCAAAATTTTTACCAATCCTCTGGCTTTTCAGGCGGTCATTACCGCTCGGACTGGCAGTATTCACAGTATTTCACATATTGAAGGCAGAAAATATCTGTTCAAATACAGTTTTTGAAAAGTGTGAGATGATTCCCTTTTGTATTCCTACATGTATAAGTTATTCTATGTGAAACTCTACTGTATGATGATATTCGGCTGGGTATAGTGTAGCACGAAAATTCATGCGTTAGCACTCCTATAATTTACTCATTTGATTGTTTTTTTGCTTAGTCATAAAATGGCAAGTGTCGTGTATTGAGTTGCTTAGATCATCTAACTATTAAAATTGCTTACGGAACATAACGTCCTTGACTCGAGAGTCTGTGACACACTGATACCAAGTACTAGTACTTTACCGAGAGACAAAAGTAATTATTTGACCTACTCAGAATAATTGACACTTCTGCAAGTTTAAGCCATTAAGTGCCTCAACTATTCAATACACATTATATGCATTTTCTTCACAATCTAACGTAAAAAATGCATAATATTTACCTTTTTAGCATGCCGATGCGTGCACACAACATTTTCAAAACAACCTTGTACGTTCACGTGTATTTGTTCTCTCGGGGTGGAGATTATTACTTTTTATAAAAGGAATTGTCAGCTTTTTATATCACTGTGATAATTTATTAGTAAAAACTTAATAATCATAAATCTATTTCAGCATATATTCACTTTTGTGTTAAATAATTCTCTTTTTTCCCAGCATGCCTTGTAGTTATACACATGGCGGCCCCCTTGCAAGGTTGGTGTTGTTTCGATTTCACAAAAAGGATTTAATATTATATGTGTCAGACGTACGTGCAATGAAAAAAGGACTGGAGCTTGACAATCAAAATTGTTCATAGAAAAGGTTCGTGGGCGAACAATGTTTGTTTTGTTGCTGAATAATTATTGAAAAATGGTTATCTGCAACTTGAAAAAGAGTAGTTGTGACCGCCATTTTGTTTGCTTCCTGGAAGCCTAGTGATAAGGGTAAACCCCTACATTCTGCTTTTAAAACTGTTCAATATAGTGTGTCTAATTTTTTTGTCTTCGAAGTATGACCGATTTGTATATCTGGATTCGGAAGGTGTAGAAAATGTGTTCCATGCTCTCATTTTAAGGAAACACGATTCACCTGCTACTTGCAGTCATTGTGTCACTCGTGACTAGTCGTTTCGGTTTCGTTGTATAGTTTGTATGAATAGTGCTTGATTTAATGGTGGTTTTTCAATGCTTTTATCAGATGCATATATTTTTAGGTGAAGAATACTAAAGGATAACAATGGGTGATGATCCTCCAGCTAAAAGGGTAAGTATATTAATGGTACGGCTGATATTGGCCATCCATAAATTATGAAAGAACTATACCACGTAAAAGTTGGTCTTCATAATTTTTGCCTGAAACTTTACTGAACTATCATGTCTTTATATCAGTTAAAAGCTAAATTTTAAAATTCTAATTTATCAGTCATGAACCTAGTAGCATATGATGACTTTGAATGTTTAGCTATTTCAAAAAACAATATATTTTAATATGCAGCGGACAATTCATACCATTTCACATGGAGTTTTTAATTAGACTGTCTATTTTATAAGTCAGAACATACTGCTTGGATGAATTATGGCAAAGTGATCTTATTGTTTTCTCATTCTAAGATAATTTGGATAATAGGCAACACATGTTGCTTTGATAAAACATATTTTTGTAGTGGCTGATATGCTATGTAATTTTCCTTTCATGCATTTTTCACTCTAGATTCATTTAAGTGAGACAGAGGTAAACAACTTGTCAAGAGAAGAATTTGCAGCAATGTGAGTGTAAATTCACTATACAAAAAATGTTTTGTGACTTTTACTAAGTAAGTTCTTTGTATTGATTAATAACAGATTTAAAATTAGAAATTTTAATTTGAAAATTGTTAAAATGAATGTTTGAGTTGACATATGTTTCTTGATTATTGTTTTCTGATTTGTTTTTAGATGGAAAGACCAAGAGCGATATATAGATCAATTGGAGGCCTTAAATTGTGGGAGTAAAGACACAAGTATGTTATGAGGAAATATGAATTTATTTTTAGTGTTGAAAATAAAGAACAGATTCCCTTATTGTTTTACACCATATGGACATGGTATATATACACAAATATGTATTCACGAAAGGCTAACAAAGTAGAATGGTGAAACCCAAAAGGGTAAAGGTACAAGATGTAGTGAATTTATATTATTCTACTTTCCAGATGAGGAAATTACAGGCTTAAGAGAATCGGAAGAAAAGTTAAAACAACAGCAGCTAGAAGCTACCAGACGAGAAAATGTGTTAGTTATGAGGCTCACCACTAAAGAACAGGAGCTTCAAGACTACATTGTAAGACATTGTTTCTGAAAATTTTATGACATACAATTTAAGTATATCAGTTACAACCTAAATATTGTTCAAGTCTATCACTTGATGCAAATCCCCAACACCAATTCTTCATTGAGGTATGGTCTATTCAATTTTTTTACCAGTTTATCTATATATTACCTTTTGTTCTGTTTTCAGACACAAATTCAAGAAATAAAGCAAGCTCAAGTACCAAGCTCAGCCCAACTGCGCAACATGCTCCTGGATCCAGCAGTCAATTTGATGTTCCAGCGAATGAAAAAGGAGATGGACAGTAGCAAGGAAAAACTCGAACAGACACAAAATGAACTCAGTGCCTGGAAGTTCACCCCTGACAGGTGCATACTCGTAACGTATTCCGCCCAGACAATGTCATTGCCACAAATTTCAAAAGTTGCTCTAACATTCTTGATTTATGTTAACTTAACTTTCATCATAGACCCATTTTACATTGCACAGTACTTAAATGTCAGTAACTCCCACCTTGCCAATGTTTGTTACTGGCATTACACTGGACTGAATCCAATCATTTTGGACTGTTCTGGACATTGTCCAAGGACTCTCCAAGGAGGGGACTTCTGTCCAATTTAAGCAGTCTAGAGCACAAGAACAGTTCTGACAAGACTGGTTTTGATGAAGGATAAAAGATGACACAAAAACACTGTTTGAAGGTTGGTCTATAGGTTTGCTGTTGTTTAAAAGAGAGCAGTAAGAACAGTGGAGTCTTTGAACACCAAGCAGCTGTCTTCAGTGGGATAGGGTCTTATCCTACTAGGTTTTCTCATAGACTGGTGGGAATAAACCTCAATTTTTGTCAAATAAGGATAAATGTATACTGCTATTAATTTGAATGATAATTGAAATAGTCCAAGTTAAGATGAATACTGCTTTATTTGTTAAGGTTAATCAAAAATAATGGATTCTATATAGACTTTTTACTCGTGGGCTTGGATCAGCTGATGTAGTATTTTGCCAATCCTGAATGTTTTCATCATTTGTTTGATGATTGAGAAAAAGAAACTGTTACTTGGTTGATCAAAATTTTGTACTCCTATTTATGTGCTCTTCTTGAAGTGTACATAATGCCACATACATTCTTGAAATTAAGACAGCAAAAATTCATTGCTTAAATATGATTTTAATGATTTTATGTACAGACACAGTAGTATCTGTACATATTACCCTCGCTAGCATCTGTCAATTTTGCTAGACCTGTAGCCATGATTGTGCACATTTCTTGTTACTACAATAACCAGGAAGCATTGTTCCTGTTTTACCTTTAAGTCACAGAAATTATTGTCTAAAATAATACAGAGTAAGTTTTTGTGGTCTTGTGAAAACTGTATTATCCAAATGGTAACTCCATTTAAGCTAAAACCTGCTTGGGTTACTGGGTCAAGTGAAAAACTGGCCATGATTGGTAATTTTGGTCTTGTTTAATCATTCCAATTACATGTCTGCTAGAGATGGAACTTCCTGAGGTTATAGTTGGCTCAAAACACAGGGTATGATTAGATCACTTTTTCCTGATAATTGAAGTCTTGTTTTTCATCATTTGTGAATTACAACCCTTTGACCACATGTTAAAGATGAATGTCTCTTTTTCCTTCAGACATCTTGGTGTCATTAACAGGGATTAATTACAGTTACACATATCAATTTTCTTAAACCTACACTTATATTGGTTGTCTGAACATTTGTCAGCTTTAGCTGGCTGTTTACGTAATATATTTATCTTTTCATATTTGTTTCCTTGCTTTTTGTCTTTTTGAAATCGTGCGCATCTGTTAGCTAAATTTGAGATTTGGCAATTGTGGCATCTTTATGTTTACTTACCTTTCATTATTAGTTCCTTTTGTTATTTGAACAATTTTATGTATTTTTGCAGTAAATAAAAGATAAAAGAATGGTTATTCTAAAATGTGCAAAAAATCAATGAATGTATATTTTTAAACTTCTGTCAAAATTTGCAAAAAGATAACAGCTAACTTTAATCTCAAGTAATGAAGCAACTAAATTCCCTTCAAAATAATTGACTTACAAACCTGAAATGCAAGTAAACATGATATGATATTGTTGGTATTAGACTCCTCATAGACTAGATATTATTCTTCTGCCACACTGATACGAGTCTTTTTTTTTTTTTTTTTTTAATCCACCTTTTGTTATCAGCAGGTGTGTTCAGAGGTTTGAAACTAAAAACTGCAAATGATTTCTTTCTTCGATTTTATCTGATTTTTTTTTTCAAAGATGCTCCTAATCACAATGTTCATTGATGCATTTATATGTAGTTTACCCATTTCAGATTTTCTCCTCATTTTACATTTTTTAAATGTTTATATTACTTTTTCTGGTGATTAGAGACGTTTCAAGTGAACAAATGGTAGTTTCATCTTTATTTAGGGTCTTTTTCTCTGTGAAATAAAGTTTCAGGGGTTCGTTATTTGTGTATTTTGATGCAGTAGCTAGTATTAAAAAGAAAACTATCAGCAGATTGTCCAGTTGAAGCAACACAGGGTGAATAGAATGCCAGTCTTATGGCAGCATATCAGTTTGGTGTGTATTTTGAGTTGAGTAAAAATTGTGTGGAGTTCTTGCTGAGCTTGTTTATCCCTTAGATCAAACTTATATCTAAAATTGTGCTTGTAGCCAAAATGGTTGTTACAAAGAAAAAGTCAACTGTTTTGTCAACAAGTATGGCTAGTGAGAGCCCAGCCTTAGAGCAAGATTTGTATACCATGCTTCTCTTGAACCCATAGAGACTTAGAGTATTAATTTGATGATATTGATGCCTTTGAAAGATCAATAGGTTTTTCTTTTTGTTTTCATTTTTTTAGCCAAACAGGAAAACGTCTAATGGCCAAGTGTAGAATGCTGTTGCAAGAAAATGAAGAACTTGGTAAAGTGATTTCATCTGGTAGAACAGCCAAACTAGAGGGAGAAATTGCATTGGAAAAGAAGTTGGTAGAAGAATTGAAAAACAGTCAAGCAGGTGCTTCATCTTGCATATATACATGTTTTTTGTCATAGAAGAGCAGTTTTACAAAGTGAAATCCTATTGGTAGACGAGTATCTATTGCAGAAGGTAGTATTGATATTCTAAGGGTACTTTGTCTTTACAAATATCATTGATTTGCAAAACCTTTTATTCGTGTAAAGGCAAAGAAAAGTTGCTCTCATTATTGATAAAAATAAATCATGAATTGTGTTCTTCATCATTATCCATCCATATAAAACCATGGTAAAAGCCTTATGGCTGACATGATTTGTAATTCACTTTCTTAATATGTTATACGTTGATAATCGACTAGTCTTTTTTCATCTTCAGAAACAGAGGAATTCCTTGTTGAAATAGATGAAGATGTTGAAGCAATGCAGAGCACTATATACTTATATCAACAACAACTGAAAGAAGCCCAGGAGCAAATTATCAAGCTTCAAGAAGAAAATGAACAGCTTAGGGGTGGGAAAATGACAGAAGACATAAAACCATATGATGTGGTAGGTAAGGCGAAAACTGAATTTGAGCAGATGGAGGATAATATGTCACGGACGTCTACACCTAGCTATGTGTCAAACACAGAAATGCCCATGGAAACTGAGGAATATAGGACATACACATCACTAAGCCCACATGAACCAGAGACTACAAATGGGGAACACCAAAATGCCATGGAAAGTACAGACTCGGATGACACAGCAGCACAAATGTTTGGTCACAGACACACAAATCTACAGCAACAGACTACAGGATCAAATAACCATAGTAATTGTCCACCTGTGCTTCTCAATGACTACCCCACTGAGAGCACAGATGCATCCAGTGATGCGTGGAGTCCTACCCAAGTAAAACACTCTGATCACAGCTTGGAAGGGGAGGGGTTTCCCATTAGTGACAAGTTACCACAGCATGATGCAAATGGGAAAAATAGTATTAGAAATGGGGTAGAAAATGAAACAGTTGATTACATAACAGATGAAGAAACTTGAATTGGCTGTTTCCTTCTATTTTTTATGCCCATCATCCCATGGATGGGTGGGCATATTGCAACTACCATGTTGGATACAGTTAACAAGCCGGACATTTATTTAAAGGGGCTGGTGAAAAAAAGAAAATACAGTAATGACTTTTCAATAGGGAAAATCATCAGTCTTTCAGATAATTTTGGAATCATTTCAAATTATACTCTGTACAGCATTTTGGTGCTTTTACTGTATAGAATAGAACTATTGGCATTTTTTCCCTTACCACTCAATAGGCATGTTATAAAAGATCCATTTATTATGTCAGTAATATTTAAAATTCACTTTTGAGATGTATCCATGTTTTAGTTCCAAGTGACAAAATTTAAAAATTTTAAACACCCATGTTAGTACATTACCTCTCTTTCTGAACTTCTCTGAGGACAGGTTATACTTTTTGGTCATATTTTTACAGATAAATGTCTAATTAATGTCACAAAATGTAATCAAATTCACCACCTGATGAACCTTGCTGCCCGCCAACCATCTTGACAGTTGTAAATCATGTGAAATCCAGAAGTCTGCAAGAATTGAGCTTGTAGGGATGGCAGAATTGTAAAACCACCACTTAAGTGAGAATAGACCAACTGGACTGTTACAGAGTTTTGGCAATTATCAGAAAAAAGAGGATCAAAGGTTGGTTGGTTGGAAAAAAAATACCATTTAACCAAGGAAAATTTAAGTATGCGTTTTTTGCAAAGAAAGTCCTACACTTTGCACCTTTACGTACCTATATTTTTACTGTGAATTTTATTTGTAAAATTTACAAGATGCTTTATATCACCCAGAAGTACTTCTTTTCACAAGAAATACAAGGCACATGCTCTTTTCTCTAAAAAGAGGAGTGTGACACTGTTAATAGCCGGGCTGCAATTTTACTGGTTGGAGTTGCACTGCTTCATAGATGTCATCTTTTTCATTCGTAAGAGGGTGGGTATTAATGATCATAGATCTTCTCTACATCTATACAATAAAAGAACCAGAGCCATAGAGCAAGTCCTAGATGATAGTTGATATGAATTTCAGATAAAATTAGGTAAAGTGCACTGAAGATAAACCAAAAGTGTATGAAAAGAAACTGCATTATTGATATAGAATAAGAGAAAAGCCTGATCACTGTTGTGTAGTAGATTGGTGTTATAATGCAATCAAGTTTTTTATGTAAAGTTAATATTGTGTGTACATAAATTTATTGAAAACATTTACGTATATGTGTGGATGTATGTAATTGGTATTTCTTGTATATATTATTGGTTATCAGTGAACTTGGCAGCATCTCTTACATGTAGTGCCAGATAAATTGGTGTATATGCTGCAGGTTCTATCTTTGATTGAGGAGTCCTTTTTCCTTCAAGTTCATAAAGCATTGCTAAAATTCATTTAATTACCAATTAAGATGCCACACCTAACCTTTTTAAGATCTAAAAATGAGTTATTTCTATGAAATTCATTTGGTTTACTCGGTCTTTATAAAATCTGACAAGAAGGGAAGTGTTAGATATTTTTGTGTGTTTTTGTACTTATGTTAGTGAGTTGAGAGGGGACAGCAGAAATAAACATGCCAACATCTTGATATTGCCTTTACCTGATCTGTTTCTGTTTCAAAGATCATGGGGATTTCTCTTTTTTTGTTCATCAGGGTCAAATACATTTGACCAAAAATATTTAGAAAGACTTGTTAATGTACTGATATGTATTGTTCCATTTATTTCTTTAAAAAACCTTCACTTTTCTCTTTGGCAGAAGACTGGGATGCCTGATGATGATGGATTATTTTGGTAGAAATAGCTTTAATGTGAGACCTTTGCTAAGGTTTATATTCGTAAATTCAACTTCTATTTTTCAAAATAATTGAAATTGTTTCTGTTTGTTTACCCAAGCAGATTATGATTATGAAAAAAGTTTTTGGTCATATTTCACATATAGTCTACATCTTGATTTGCTGTCTTATAAATAAAACAGTCATTTTAATGCATTGTGTTCAGGTGTCATATTTTCATTTGCTATTTTTATGACCCATTTTTTATTATGAGTAAGAACTTAACAAAAACTAAAAAGTAACATGAAATTACCGACAATGTTGTTTCATTAATTTCAAAAGGGGGGAGGGGTATCAAGAGAACAAGATAATAAACAATGGATTAGAAATTCAGTGACCTTTTTCTGGGGTGGGGGTTGTTGGTCAAGTTAAACTGGCTAAGAAAAAAAGAGCTCTAACCGTATGGGATGATCTGGGATGTGATAATAGTTTTTTACACAAGAAAGGATGGAAAAAGTGACAAATCTCTGAGCTGAAGCGCATAAGAGCGCAGAGTGACTTAAGTTGCGACTTTGAAGGATAACTAGCTATTACTAACAATCCACGTATCTAAAGCTACTTTTTTCGCAATAACTTCAGTTTCACATTTCCTGAAAAGACGGGACCGTCTAAACGAGTATTAAAATACCTCTCATAGATCTACAAAGCGTTTGAGTCCAGGTGCACGACCAGACGGATCAATGATTTGTGTGTGAAAGAAAATAACTTTTTTGTCTCGAGGAGAATTAGATCTAGATATAAAATCCCATCTACAGTTCCTCAGATTAGAAAAAAAAACGAGACCCTGACTCGTGCGAGCAGACGACGAGTTTATGTGTAATATTACAGGTCTGTTTATGTTAACAAAACTGCAAGTTGTAATCTCTTGCACTCAGTAAAGAGTACATAATAGTGCCGCATAAGTAACAGATTTTTTTCTAGGATAAGCATATTGAAATTTCATTCTCTAAATGTAACTTCCATGATGAAGATATGTTTTGAAACAAATGTACATGAATGAAAAAAAAGACTTTATAAGACCTGCTAAAAACGGGTTCAATAGCCCCTAGAGGGATGGGCTCTATTGAAAAGCCTCTTCTTGAGCATGATTGACGCATGCCCCACCCAACCCGAGGCCGGCCATATTGGTTTCCCACTCGGTCAATCACAGAGGAGGAAGACTTGTGGTAAGTGGGAAAGACGTAATATGAAGCATGATATAAACATCAGATTTGGTTATGGTCTTCAAAATAAGTAAGCACTGATATCGGGGTACAGAATAATAGTCATGGAAAGCGGTGACGAGGGTGGACATTGCTTTCTTGCAGCCGCCGCGCCCTTGGCGCGATTATCCGCCTTTTCAAACCGAATGAGATTATTTGTAGGATTAAAAGGAAATCTTGATTTGGTTTTATTTGAAACAGAATATGTTGGATGTATTTCGTTTATATTTTCTTAGAGATACATTCGTTTGTTTTAACTGTCATTGTGCAAATGGTTCTTAATGTTTTATAATTTTAATTGAACAGTGGTATGTCGCATACTCCCAAATTACACGTCGTGCCGGTGGCATTGGTAGCACACCCGAGGCACCGGATACGCATTCTTTGGACATTATAAATATCCGTGAAAAAATAAATGGCGCGGTTGTTTGGGTGAAATGGATTGTCATTCTTCAGAAGTGCAGGGTCGTTCAAACTTTAAATGAACGTCGTTTTGCTTGGAAAAAGCATATCAAAGTTCATCTCAGCACACCTGTATTTATTCATTCATTTGACTTTTGTTTGCCGAATGAATAGCGATTTATCGCCGAGATAACTGTGATTCTTAAAAGATCTTAGAGGAGGTTACAAATGGACCAACACCCCTCTTGCATTAACTTTATGTCTCTAGGTTTGAACATGATTACTCATTTAGCAGAATTAAGTTGAAATTCCTGATAAAAGCTTCACATAAGATAAGGACTCACAATTTACACCCACTCTACAGGTATGTCATTGGGTGTGACCTACCAATAGCTACAAACAGTTTAAAGATTAGTAATGGTCAATTGCTCAGTATTTCAAGTCTCTTAGTCTTTGTGTAAATGGGACTTCATCCCTGTTAGGAAGAACACAAATGTACCTTGGCACTGTACGTTGATATTTATGAATGTATGTTATCATTTATTTATTTTTAGCTTTATATAAAAGAGAATTTGAACTAACTGTTTATATAAAAAGGCACTTTATCTTTTTTTTTAACTTCTCCTTTTCATAGATTTCAGATTACTTGGGATAACCAGGAAGCAACTGGAATAACAAGGTGTTCAAAAAACCTAACAAGATGCCAAAGGCAGTAAGTATTATATGATGCTTTTTAAAGGCTATTTGCTGTATCAAAATCTATTCCATAATCTTACCAAGCCATTGAAGTCAGTGTTGGTTAAAATGAAAATGAACCGTATCTGTGTTCATTTCTACATGGGTCTTTTGTGATTTTCACCAAATTAATAAAGTTTATTAATATGAAATAAACACTTAATAGCTTCTATCTATTTATTTATTTATTTATTTATTTATTTATTTTTAGGGGAGGATAAGACAAGTTAGTATAGATTTTGTCTGTCACTATTAAGTGGTTTGAATGAAGTACACTTCAATTCCTTATTTTGTCCCACCACACTGGTGAATTTATAATGCTTCAATACATCTTATATTCATAGTTTAGCATTTGTACCAGCTACCACAAAAGAAAACTACTCAAAAAAGACTTAAATTTTAATTTGACCTGATAGAAATGTATTGTAACATAAGACTTGGTGATTTCAGTAATGTGGAACACTGTATATGTGATAAAATTAAGTTGGGATGTTTATGATAAAGTATGTTGATGTGTTTAAATATTAACTTATAATAGACTGACACAATTCTGTTCCTAGTGTATGAGACCATATGTCATTGTGTGTAAATGTACTTCTGACCCAGCATAACAAGTTGGGACAAAAGGTAGCATTTGTCAAATAGCAGTCATGCAAAGAAGCTAAGACAAATATAACTAACTATATTTTAAAATAAAAATTTCATTGACATACCTTAGTTTTCTCATAGNTGTTCATCAGGGTCAAATACATTTGACCAAAAATATTTAGAAAGACTTGTTAATGTACTGATTTGTATTGTTCCATTTATTTCTTTAAAAAACCTTCACTTTTCTCTTTGGCAGAAGACTGGGATGCCTGATGATGATGGATTATTTTGGTAGAAATAGCTTTAATGTGAAACCTTTGCTAAGGTTTATATTCGTAAATTCAACTTCTATTTTTCAAAATAATTGAAATTGTTTCTGTTTGTTTACCCAAGCAGATTATGATTATGAAAAAAGTTTTTGGTCATATTTCACATATAGTCTACATCTTGATTTGCTGTCTTATAAATAAAACAGTCATTTTAATGCATTGTGTTCAGGTGTCATATTTTCATTTGCTATTTTTATGACCCATTTTTTATTATGAGTAAGAACTTAACAAAAACTAAAAAGTAACATGAAATTACTGACAATGTTGTTTCATTAATTTCAAAAGGGGGGAGGGGTATCAAGAGAACGAGATAATAAACAATGGATTAGAAATTCAGTGACCTTTTTCTGGGGTGGGGGTTGTTGGTCAAGTTAAACTGGCTAAGAAAAAAAAGAGCTCTAACCGTATGGGATGATCTGGGATGTGATCATAGTTTTTTACACAAGAAAGGATGGAAAAAGTGACAAATCTCTGAGCTGAAGCGCATAAGAGCGCAGAGTGACTTAAGTTGCGACTTTGAAGGATAACTATTACTAACAATCCACGTATCTAAAGCTACTATGAAAAGACGGGACCGTCTAAACGAGTATTAAAATACCTCTGATAGATCTACAAAGCGTTTGAGTCCAGGTGCACGACCAGATGGATCAATGATTTGTGTGTGAAAGAAAATAACTTTTTTGTCTCGAGGAGAATTAGATCTAGATATAAAATCCCATCTACAGTTCCTCAGATTAGAAAAAAAAACGAGACCCTGACTCGTGCGAGCAGACGACGAGTTTATGTGTAATATTACAGGTCTGTTTATGTTAACAAAACTGCAAGTTGTAATCTCTTGCACTCAGTAAAGAGTACATAATAGTGCCGCATAAGTAACAGATTTTTTTCTAGGATAAGCATATTGAAATTTCATTCTCTAAATGTAACTTCCATGATGAAGATATGTTTTGAAACAAATGTACATGAATGAAATGAAAGACTTTATAAGACCTGCTAAAAACGGGTTCAATAGCCCCTAGAGGGATGGGCTCTATTGAAAAGCCTCTTCTTGAGCATGATTGACGCATGCCCCACCCAACCCGAGGCCGGCCATATTGGTTTCCCACTCGGTCAATCACAGAGGAGGAAGACTTGTGGTAAGTGGGAAAGACGTAATATGAAGCATGATATAAACATCAGATTTGGTTATGGTCTTCAAAATAAGTAAGCACTGATATCGGGGTACAGAATAATAGTCATGGAAAGCGGTGACAAGGGTGGACATTGCTTTCTTGCAGCCGCCGCGCCCTTGGCGCGATTATCCGCCTTTTCAAACCGAATGAGATTATTTGTAGGATTAAAAGGAAATCTTGATTTGGTTTTATTTGAAACAGAATATGTTGGATGTATTTCGTTTATATTTTCTTAGGGATACATTCGTTTGTTTTAACTGTCATTGTGCAAATGGTTCTTAATGTTTTATAATTTTAATTGAACAGTGGTATGTCGCATACTCCCAAATTACACGTCGTGCCGGTGGCATTGGTAGCACACCCGAGGCACCGGATACGCATTCTTTGGACATTATAACTATCCGTGAAAAAATATATGGCGCGGTTGTTTGGGTGAAATGGATTGTCATTCTTCAGAAGTGCAGGGTCGTTCAAACTTTAAATGAACGTCGTTTTGCTTGGAAAAAGCATATCAAAGTTCATCTCAACACACCTGTATTTATTCATTCATTTGACTTTTGTTTGCCGAATGAATAGCGATTTATCGCCGAGATAACTGTGATTCTTAAAAGATCTTAGAGGAGGTTACAAATGGACCAACACCCCTCTTGCATTAACTTTATGTCTCTAGGTTTGAACATGATTACTCATTTAGCAGAATTAAGTTGAAATTCCTGATAAAAGCTTCACATAAGATAAGGACTCACAATTTACACCCACTCTACAGGTATGTCATTGGGTGTGACCTACCAATAGCTACAAACAGTTTAAAGATTAGTAATGGTCAATTGCTCAGTATTTCAAGTCTCTTAGTCTTTGTGTAAATGGGACTTCATCCCTGTTAGGAAGAACACAAATGTACCTTGGCACTGTACGTTGATATTTATGAATGTATGTTATCATTTATTTATTTTTAGCTTTATATAAAAGAGAATTTAAACTAACTGTTTATATAAAAAGGCACTTTATCTTCTTTTTTAACTTCTCCTTTTCATAGAATTCAGATTACTTGGGATAACCAGGAAGCAACTGGAATAACAAGGTGTTCAAAAAACCTAACAAGATGCCAAAGGCAGTAAGTATTATATGATGCTTTTTAAAGGCTATTTGCTGTATCAAAATCTATTCCATAATCTTACCAAGCCATTGAAGTCAGTGTTGGTTAAAATGAAAATGAACCGTATCTGTGTTCATTTCTACATGGGTCTTTTGTGATTTTCAACAAATTAATGAAGTTTATTAATATGAAATAAACATTTAATAGCTTCTATCTATTTATTTATTTATTTATTTATTTATTTATTTATTTATTTATTTATTTATTTTTAGGGGAGGATAAGACAAGTTAGTATAGATTTTGTCTGTCACTATTAAGTGGTTTGAATGAAGTACACTTCAATTCCTTATTTTGTCCTACCACACTGGTGAATTTATATTGCTTAAATAGATCTTATATTCATAGTTTAGCATTTGTACCAGCTACCACAAAAGAAAACTACTCAAAAAAGACTTAAATTTTAATTTGACCTGATAGAAATGTATTGTAACATAAGACTTGGTGACTTCAGTAATGTGGAACACTGTATATGTGATAAAATTAAGCTGGGATGTTTATGATAAAGTATGTTGATGTGTTTAAATATTAACTTATAATAGACTGACACAATTCTGTTCCTAGTGTATGAGACCATATGTCATTGTGTGTAAATGTACTTCTGACCCAGCATAACAAGTTGGGACAAAAGGTAGCATTTGTCAAATAGCAGTCATGCAAAGAAGCTAGGACAAATATAACTAACTATATTTTAAAATAAAAATTTCATTGACATATCTTAGTTTTCTCATATCATTTATCAATATATAAATATTAATGAGAAAAATTCTGGTGATAGTGGTATTAATCAGGGTGAAAATTAATGTTTGACTGGAGATTAAGAAACATGGACCAAGCTTCAGACCATCTTATCTCACAACTCCTTTAGCCTATTTACAGATACTGCAGTTACACCCTCTTTAGTGCAGTGTGGTACACACCTGACAAAGTAAACAATGAGTTGACCTTTTTGCATCTTAATCAGGAGCACTGTTTGGTTGAAGGTTCCTTTTCATTGCGCTCCTTTGATGTATTTGCATGTCTCGTAAATGATAAGCAGTTTCCCCTTGTTTACAATCTTTTAAAACCTCGTTGAATCTTGATTCATTCTTATTCAATCTTGTAACTTCTGCATTTTTTGTTTGTCATTAGTATTTTATTTGTTAATTATATTATTTATATGGGGGGGGGGGGTTACTCAAATTTTATGGCCAAAAGTGACTGTAAGGTGTCAAATATGGTTTTATCAAGTTATAATCTGATTTTAGCCATAAGGGTCACATAGTTTTGTAACGCTATCTTATCTCTTTGCTTAGCACTGAAAAAATCTGCAAGCAATGTTGAATAGCTAGTAAATAAAAGTTATCTTGCTGTTTACAGGTAAAACAAGAAAAGGATTTTAAGACTTCTCTAATATATATATATATATATATATATATATATATATATATCCACAAAATTGTGATTTTAAATAAAACCACAATTTTGTGGATATAAAGCCTATCTGTGTTCAATTCTACAAGGGTCTTTTGTGACTTTTACCAAATTAATGAAATTTATTCTAAAATGAAGTTAAGATCAAAGTCTTATATTTATAGGTCAATGTTCGAGTCACCACCATGGATGCAGAGCTGGAGTTTGCCATCCAGCCAAACACAACAGGCAAACAGCTCTTTGACCAGGTAGGTTTTTCCCTTAGATTTGAAATTGTTTAATGTATTCTTGAAGGATGAAAGTTGTCAATACATAGTGATAATGTAAGCTGTTTTCACATTTTAAGATGTATATATATGATCAGAATATCTATGATCAGAATATCTATTTGGATTTTGAACTGAGACAGGATTGAATATTGAAACCTTATCAACCATTCAACTGTTGCATGGTTTTCTTTTGAGTATTCCCCTAACCCCTTTGTTTCCCTTCTTTTCCTCTGTGCAAAATCTAGAAAAATGATATGATAGCACCTTTTTTTGTTTTAGTTTTCCCCAACTTTTGCTTTAGTTCTGAACTTAAATACTGAAAGGATTCTTTGGCAATGATTCATCATTCTTCATGATTTCAAGCTAAAGATGCGGTTATTATTTTCCCATTATCAGTTTGATATTTTAAAATGGTAATGAAGGTGTATGCCAGATGGACTGCTCAGTCACGGTGATCTTTGAGTGATATACACATGTACTAAGATAACCACTGATTACTTCTCAAAGTATTGGGAAGAGTCAAAATTAAATTAGATTTTTTTCTTGCTGAAAATTGTTGTCTCTCATTATACATTGGATGGCACAAACTGAAAACCCTTGTGTGGCTCTTTATCCTCAACATTCACCCTAGTATAAGGATACTCTCCAACCACAGGGTGCGCTAGTATGTTACAAAAATTATTGTATCATACCCTGTGGGATTTCATGTAATCAACTGCTACTCATTCTTTGCCGCCGGACATACTCTTTGTATTTGTAAGTGGGGGTGATTACACACCTAGGTGCCGAGTAGTGCACATCCATGTGTATGTTACATAAAGCAAGTCAAGCATGACTTACTCCAGATGCCCAGCTGAGTGATTATGCCCAACCCCACAGTTTTTATCTTTCTCTGCTGCTGAGCCACCGTTTAAGGGGTGGAGTAATTATATAGCACTGGACAATCAGTTTTTCCACAGGGGCTGATATTTTCATTTTGTATACTATTTTAGAAACCTCTGATATCAGAGGCATACATAACTCTGGACATATACCATAGGCTTAGGATAGTAAACCAACAGTAGTCTTTTCCTGATATCTTAATTTTCGTAGCATTCATTTAGTTATGCCATTATTTATTGATATTTTTTACAATATAAGGGAGTTGTTATTACATATTATCTAAAAGAAATTGGTTCTGAGGATGTAATGAAAAAAAGATAAATAATGAATGAAAGATGACTTTTGTCAGAAATTCCTTGATAAGCATTCAATAATGTATGCAGTTACATATCCATTATTTGTACCACCAGCTGTAGATAGATTTGGTATGATTCCTGACCCATCTCATTCTGATTCTTTTTGTACAGTATTTCATGGTTTGTTTGTTGTATGTTCAGGTGGTGAAGACAATTGGGCTACGTGAAATCTGGTTCTTTGGCTTGCAGTACATAGATAGCAAGGGCTACTCCACATGGCTGAAACTTAACAAAAAGGTAGATGGCAAGATTTTTAATGAAGATGTGTCTTAGGCAAATTATTATTATCATGTATATTATTGATTTTGTCATAGGGTCTCTTAACAAAGATATAATGAAGGAGAATGGTAACTGATGGAGTAGCAAGGTATGCATTTACTCCCAATTACATCTCATTTTGTCTAAATGATCCTCTATGGTACTTTTAACATTATCAATAATGCCACTGGTGTCATTTATTGTTTCTATGGAACGTGTAAACAAAATATCAAAATATAGAATCCATTATGTTTAAGTTACATGTCTGTTACCTCGATCTGTATTTGCTTATATGATATTTCATTCCAGGTGATGAGCCAAGATGTACGCAAAGAGTCTCCCCTCCAGTTCAAATTCCGAGCTAAGTTCTTCCCTGAGGATGTGGCTGAAGAACTCATTCAGGAAGTCACACAGGTAAAGTTTTTTGTATAATATATATCTTAAAAAGGCAGCATTGCATATATTTAAACTGTAGCCAAAGTGTGTTGTTGTTACTCATGTGGTTTGTAAATTATATATAATTTGAAAGCCACTTCAGGAACAATACCACTTATCTCAACTTCCTTAGAAACTGTTCATGTTTCTAAAGGAGTTGAGGGTGATGTTTGAGAGTATAATTCAAGAACAACATTTATTTAGTTGTGAAATGAACATATTTTACTCTCTTGTCTGATGGAATACAACCTTTTTCACAATTTGAAAAGGTTGGTTGTCAAGACTTTATTTATTAATTTATTTTGAATCATGGTCTTGTTTCAGAGAATGTTCTTTCTGCAAGTGAAAGAAGGTATCCTGAATGATGAAATTTACTGTCCGCCTGAGACATCTGTGCTGTTAGCATCATACGCAGTTCAAGCAAAATACAGTGACTATGACCCTGATAAACATAAGCCACGGTGTCTAGAGAATGACAGGCTGCTACCTCAGCGGTAAGCAAAATTTGTGTGCTAGTGTTGATGAAAATAAAGATAATTTAAAATTTTCGATTGTGAACTCACAATTTTTGTGGTTCTTTCTTAAGTCATGTAATTTTCCACATTCAAATTGGGGTTTATCTTTGATGTAATTTTACTTTTTAAGGGTTTATGACCAACACAAGATGACAAAGGAACAATGGGAGGAGAGGATAGTTAACTGGTGGGCTGAACACAAAGATATGCTCAGGTAACATGGAAAAACAGACATTTAGATGTGCAGGAAAATATTTTGTAAGACATCTTATGGTTGCATAATTTGTTTTTCAGTTGATTGATATCATTAAGTTTGGTTTCATTACAGATTTACACATGCGAAGGCAGTGCTTGTCTAATAGATATTGAATTGGTATATTGCTTAATGTTCATAAGTATTGGAGAATTTCAAAAATTATTTCATCTGCAGAGAGGATGCAATGCTGGAGTACCTTAAGATTGCCCAAGACTTGGAAATGTATGGAGTCAACTATTTTGAAATCAAGAATAAAAAGGGTTCGGACCTGTGGTTAGGAGTGGATGCTTTAGGACTCAATGTATATGAAAAAGAGGACAAGTAAGAACTTTTCATCAATATAAATTAATCTAAAACATGACTTCTTTTTCTCTTCTCAAAACAAAAACTGTTAATGTCATTTCCTGCCAACAATTGTATATTTTGTATGTATGCCTTTTCTTATATTTGAAATGCCTTTCCTTATATTTGAAAGATTATTTAAATTGAAATAATCTCTATATTTGTAATTTCATCATCTTTAATTTCCAACACAATTGCACTTTCAGATTAACTCCAAAGATTGGATTCCCTTGGAGTGAAATTAGAAACATCTCCTTTAATGACAAGAAGTTTGTGATCAAGCCAATTGACAAGAAAGCACCAGTAAGTATTAAGTGATTTCCTTGTGGTTAACAGTAGTAAGATCATCCAAAGTGGAGCATAATTGATTACATGCTTATTTTACAAAAAAGGAAGAAAAAAAACATTTCTATATATATTGCCTCTTATTTACAGGACTTTGTATTCTATGCACCAAGATTAAGAATTAACAAGCGCATTTTGGCCTTATGCATGGGCAATCACGAGCTGTACATGCGCCGACGTAAACCAGACACCATTGAAGTACAGCAGATGAAGGCTCAAGCTAAAGAAGAGAAACAGTCTAGGCACATTGAAAGGTGAGAGTTTAAAAGAAATGAAACCCAACAGTTTTTATGCCAACGGGTACCAGTATTTTCATTTTCAGATTTCCATATAGGATGCATCTCAACTTCAGCAGCAGGTTTGATTGATGATCTGTTATCTATGTCACATGCTCTTCTGTTGAAACACAAAATCAGGATAATCATAACAGCAATTTTGATTTGCGTAGTATACATCAATCAGACGTGCTGTTGAATGTTAGAGTCCAATAAATGTGCACATATGAAGGCTTGACAAGGCTGGCTCACCTCAGACCTGAAGCTTGGAATAAGAAATTCATAGTAAGTTGCTGAAATGGCAAACCTATTAACATGTACATGAACCTGATGCAGCACCTGTCAAGAGTAATATTTCCTACAATTGCAGTTCACAACGTGCTACATGTTTGTCCCATTCTCCATACAAGAAGACAAAGAAATTTCGCTTTTATGGGTAATGAGCATCAAGTGTTTAAAAAATTTCTTGGTGTGGATATTTGGACATTTTTTTTTCTTTGCATGCATTGCAATTAGATTTGAATCAAGAGTGATTTTTTTCCTTTTATTTTTATATTTTTCCTTATTACGATGTGACAAAACGGTCTCAAATGGGAAAATATTGCCATGTTTAGGTTTTATAGATTGTTGTAATTTTTTATCCTTATAAGCAAAGAATATTAAACCATTCTCTAAAGTAGATCAAAATCTCTGGTTTGCAAGAGTTGGGGTGGGATCATGCAGACGTTTTGCTGCATGATTTAAAGGTTTGCTCTCCTACAAAAAACTTCCTTGACTCCAATTTTGAAAAGAATTAGGATTAAGGCATTTTGTTGATGTTATATTTTTTTGCATTAAAAACATCTTAAAGTTCCTTAGAACAAAAGGAGAGAGAACTGTAATTATTGATTTTAATTTGAATAAAATATCCTAGCCTTATTTATTTGTACCACCAGCATAGGCGCTGGCGGTGCACATGTTTTTAGTCCCGACCCGTCTCATTCGCCAGCTCCGATGGCTCCGCAACCATGTCACCATTTCCGCTTCTCTACCTAGACTACAAGTACATACCCATCTTTTGGATGTAGGACACATATAATCTCAACTCCATGTAAATTTTGGGCTTTGTTGGTGCACGGGTCTAGGTGTGATGCTTGTCGCAATGCACCCTTGTCCAAAATATGCTAAATGCTAAATATCTCCCAAACTGAAGGAATTATGGGGAAAATATCTATAGATGGCTGACCGAAAGTCATGTGGAGATTTCAAATATGCTCTTTTGCCTTTAAGTCAAGGTCAAAAGAGCCAAAAATTTCTAATAATGGGAATTTTTTGCAAAAAAAAAAAAAAATTATTTGTGCCGATTTTTAGCAACTACACAGATCTAAACTGTAGTATTATTGGCAGGTTTTACACTTAGGGTCATCTTTCATCTTCGTGAGATTTGCTTTAATCGGTGCATTTTCGTGGGAGAAGCAGCCATTAGATGCCGAAACTGAAAACTGGCCATGAACTGCACTTCACAAATTTGGATTTGACCTTTGACCTACTTCCCCATGATTTTGTTATAAATTGTAATTTTCAACAAAAAATTAAGAAAATTTGTTTACTGCATTTTATAGAGCTTGTCAAGCACAACACTGGAGGTTGTGCCCCCCCCCCCCTCCTCTTTTTTTTTCCCCCCTTACATATGCGCTTACTCCAGCTGGTAATACCATACCCAGAGGCGGTATCGCCTCTCTGATCCTCTAGTGTTTTTATTTTATTTTATTTTATTTTATCTATTTGTTTATATTTATTTTTATTATTTTATTTTTTACACCTTGTTTTTCCCCCATAAAATGTTTTTTTAGGATTTTTTGTGGTCTTCTGTTGTTGAGCAATACAGAGCAGGTTTTCCCCCTGGGCTATTTAACAGTATATGGCTTAAACTCATAAAATTATGACAAATATTTTATTGACATGATTACTGGCATTGTATATGTATTTTATCTCTAGAGCCCAGCTCCAAAAGGAAAAGACTGCCAGGGAAATGGCTGAAAAAGAAAAGTTGGAAATGGAAGAAAAGCTTAGACAACTGAAAGAAGAATCAGAGAGAGCAAGAGAAGGTAAAACAAGCCTATCATCAGTATTACCAATTGATAAGATTTATTTTTTTATTTTGCCATTACTGGTTGAGAGGTAGTACATTTTCTGTTTGAAATATAATCATATTTTAAACATTGATGTAAACATTTTGTTACAGAAATGGAGAGAAATGCTGAAATGGCAGCTCGTCTTGAGGAGCAGCGGCGCCAGGCAGAGATGGAAAGAGAAGAGGTAGAAAGAGCTAAAGCTGAGGCTGAGGAACTTAGAATTAAGGCAGAACAAGAGGCACATTTAGAGAAGGAAGAGAGGGAGAAAATGGTAATTTTGTTCAGGAACTTTGTCAATTTATTGTCTTGCTGGAATTATTTTGGGTTTTGTTGCTTTTCTTAAAGATAAGCAGATAAAGATTAGCTTCCTGTTTTTATAACATAAAACTTCATGTTAATGTCTTGCATGTGTTTATTATGTTTTATACTATATAATGTAGGCAAGAGCAGCAGAAGAGGCAAGACTGGAAGCAGAGGAAAAGGAACGTATCGCAAGGGAAAAAGAAGAAGAGCGTTTGAGAATGGAAGAAGAATTGGCAGAGGCCCGCAGGAAACTAGAAGAAGAGAGGCAACAATTTTTAGAACAGCAAATGAACCATGTAAAGGAAACAGAGGAGGAGGAAAATGACGTTGAAGGAGGTGAATAGAAAACATTTTCGCACACCTGCTTGTAAACAAAACTTTTCTGACTTCAAGTTGAAAAATATTTTTTCTGTGCATTTTGTGTATATTTATAAAATTAATGATTCAGCAGTACTTTTGTGAGTATATTTGAAATTGATATATTAATTCAGTAAAAAATATTTGCAGGTCAAGATATGGAAATTTTAGAAGATGCTCCTCGCCCAGAGGAAGAGCGTATTACACAAGCAGAAAAGAATGATAAGCTTCAGAAACAGCTTCAGGTATGACTTGTCATTTTTCTTTATAAATCACGGAATGAGTATTCTGTCAATAGACTCTCTTTGAATCCAAACACCTTTTTTCCCCCAATAAATCTGTGTGAGCTTTTAGTCATTTAGGTGGGGGTATGCATTTTATCATCTTTGCTTCTGTCATTATATTGATAAACTGTTATTTCGAGATTTAATAAGGCTCGGGATACTTTCTGTTTGACTTTGATATTTGACATAATATTTTATTTTTACAGTCTTTAAGTGCAGAATTGGAGGAAACAAGAGATGATTCCAAAGTAACACAAAATGATATGATATATCAGGACAATAGGCAAGCAGGCAGAGATAAGTACAAAACATTGAGGCAAATCCGTATGGGTAACACCAAGCAAAGAGTCAACCAGTTTGAATGCATGTAAATCCCACCAAAAATCCTGACGGACAGCCTTGACTTAATATCTTTTTACAATATTCCCACACAAACTTTAGCAGGACTGATTGGGTTAAAACATGGGGCAGTGTATTTGATTAGACTGTTAAGAATATACATTTCAAGGGACCAGATTGTTTTGTATTGTATTAGGGCAGAGCCCACAGCAGTATGTTGTGTATGATGATTGTTGAAATTGGAATGCCATGATTACAAATTATGCCATCAGTTTGAACAGACCCCAATTTATAGTATTTGTAGTCAGGTCATAGGATGCATTATGAAACTGTGGCCTTGTTTACCTTTGACATATATCTCATATATTTTCTTTGTAAAGGGTTGAGGAATAATCCTTGAATCTGTGAACACAATTATTGATAAGATATAGACTAAGGAATAAATATGATTCATACTGTGATACTGCTTGATTAACCTAAAGTGGGAAAGCAGTTTGTTAGCATTAGCACTGTTGATCTCCGAAAATTGGTGAAAATTATCCCAATATGATCAGCTGATGGTGATATTCGTTCACCTCTGCTATCAACTGTCAAATGTGAGAATGTAATTCAGAGTTGTGACTTTGCCAGACGTTTGTAGTCTATAGTGATACCATTGTTTTCCAAATGTATTGACAGTTTTGTATAATGTTCTTTTCTATACAAAACCAGTTTATTATACTGAGGAAAAAATATTATGATGATAGGTATAATATATTTTGCACGTGGTTACCCAAGTTTACCGTTAGTAGATTACAAACAAAAAAGAACAATATTATATGTTTATTATTATTATTATTATAATCATTATCATTATGCCATTATTGTGTTGCATATTGTATTTGTACAGGTATTGGCAGAAGTATATTATTTTGTAATGGTGATTGGAACCATTCTATAGTGATCAGCTCAGTCATTCCACTTAACCTTATTATGATGTATGTGCTCAAGGAGCTGAAAGAATTCAAAAACTTGGTACCTGTGTCAGCAACATTCCTAAGTTTCTTGGCTAAACCATTCCTTTGAGTAGAAAATTAGATATTCAAATCGTAAATGCCACAGGTGCTTTGTTTATGAATTCCTGGTCAGTTCTAGGTGACAAAAATGCCACGTATGCAACATCCACTGATAGCATTGATAAATTAATAAAACACAGGATACTTGTTTTAGAAATTCCTTATGTTCCTATACTAGAGTTATCTTCACAGGTTAGAGACAAACATAGTAAATATCAAAGCCATTACGAATAAATACACCTCAGAGTGCTTATAACATGTTTGGCTGCTACATACGAATATTGTGTGTTGGTATTAGGATGGGAGGGAATTTGGTATGTTGTCGGCTGTATAGCGTTTTTGTACATATCATGATTACAGCACTCGGATTATAGTCAAGTCTTCCAGTTCGTGCAGACACTGGGGATTCCCCTATATAAAAACACAACAGATCTAGAGCTGCACATAGAATACATACTTATTGAAGGCGTGCACGCATGTACGTGACTGCTTTGCTGTCCGTGGAATATACTGATACTATTTATTTGCTGCTTGCTTTTCCCATCACTTAAGCAAATTACTTGTTATCTTGCTGCTGCGTTTGATGAGCAAAAGGAAGGACATGTACAACTGATCTGATAAGTACCTTCAGAAGATGCCACAAATTGTCTCAAATTGACTTCGGAAAAATAAATAGCTAAACTTACCAGTGTATTGTTGACGTTTTTTTATAACTGGTGCACATTGGAAACCAACACGAGCAAAAAAATTACGACTTGGAGGTTATAGAGAAATGGGTGCACTATTGGTCTTTGTTGGGAAAACGAGGTCCATTTAAATCCAGGTACAGTTAAACGTTTGACAAGATCAAACAAAACTAGAGGAAGTTGACTGGTTTTCAACCAAACGTCAAGTAAACAAGTGGGAATAGTAACCACCGTTGCTCGTTCGGCACGTTTTAAGATGGCTGTTAAAGTAAATGCATCGGCACGTAACGGTTACTGCTTCTTGCCGCCGATGTTCACAGAATGAATGGGGCAGTGCATATGACAACTTTTTTCATTATCTGCGGCACAATCGAGCAGGTCTATAATTCGCAGAATGAATCTTACTAAAATTTATCTAACATTCTGATTGTATGCGGATTCTACTGCCTAACCCAACAATTTAGAAAACTATTAAAATAGCTGGCTTTAGCCGATTTTCTGCCTGGAAGTGTAGAGAGATCGAAGTACCTTGGATTTTGCGTTGGGTACCGCCACGTCTTCTCGAGATCATTTTTTTATTCTTTCGCTAAATGTTCTTGAAGATACGGAAAAACGGGTTGTAGTCGTGGATGTGTTGCTCTTCGTCGAAAGTGATCTATGGTTGTGTGTGAACTTTTCTATAATCGTTCTGTAAACCTTTCTGTTACAAACAAAAACCAAAAATATGAAAACGCCCAGCCACGTATTTAGAAATATGAAAAGATACCAAAGTTCTGTGAAGTTTGATGCCATGGCAACATACCCTACAATCCAAGAGAGACCCATAACAATGGATAATTTTGTGTAAAGAATCACTCTTCTTCTGTTGGCTGCCGCTTTTGGCTTAGCAAATTTTGCTGCTTTGGAAACTTTTCTAATACCATGCACAGACATTGCAAAGAAAACCATGTTAAGCAGCAAGAGCAATGCCACCGGAGCGAGAAAGAAAATCAGAAGGCCGTATTTTTGTGTTATCCAGCAGATTCCATAGGCACCGTATCGAGGCTTATACGAGGTTGGAACATCAGCGTGATCGATGATTAAAGAAGTCGACGTTATTAAAATCGATGAACCCCAAGCATATAACGAATAATAAATGAACTTCATAGATCTTCTATTCTGCTTGAAAGTTGTAATTGAGATGGAAAACGTGTGGCAAATATCGAAGGACATGACGTTCATCCAAAAAAACGCAGCCAGGTATGAGTAGTGCATTAATACCGCAAACGCAACGCAGGCGGATTCTGTTTTTTTCCAAACTGGAGTCAGCATAAAAAGGAATTGAGCAACACACAAGGAGGCTACTAGGGACATCAGAACTTTTCCTGGAAGATTTCTTAGACTTGGCAACAGTGCGTAAATAAAGAAGTGAAGACCGAGACAAACCGTGGAAATGACGAGGCCAACCAGAGAAAGTATAGCTTGTGCGTCATTGAAACGAAAAGCAATTGCCTTTTCTATATTTACATCCTCGTTTTTGCTGTAATTTTGAGAGAAGTTAGAGCAAACGATTATGTGACTGTCACCATTTACGTCATAAGTGCCAGGTGAAAATATTTCCTCAGTTGCATTGATAAACACTGATCCATCCTGGCGCAAAACAAAATCGCTGTAGTTCAGTTTAAGACACCCAAGAATGGTCGGGCTGATATTTTTAGCTGTGTAATTTTGAGGGACATCGTGATCAGGTTTTCGTATGCACGTGTTATTCCACAATGTTTCTCCATCGCCACACAGCACCCGTTGACACGTTGCCATGGGGACGACGAATACCTGCCCTTCGGGACATTTTTCAAATGTTTCAGTGGTTGAGTGACCCATAATATTCCATTCAAATGAAAGTGAATTTGGATCGAATAAAACACGATACGAAGGAATCCATGAACCACTGGACAAAGGGCTGGGTTTTGTTGGAAATGGCTGACTTGAAAACTGGTCAACATTCAACCCGTTGCACACTGCACAGTATTTGTTTTTGTACGTCGTATTTCCATATACCACGGCCTCTAAAGTGTCCGACGTTGATTCTTCGCACCAATGCCTATAAATGCTATCCTTCAGACTGCATGTTGTCACATTATTACAGTGCAGTAAAGATCGGTCCGTGTCACTCCTGTCAGTCGGTCTCTTATACGAAGCGGTACACTGCTTTGCAACTTCAGAAATGTTCATTTTCTGCGGTCGCCTTGAAAAACGCGGTTTAAAGCGAAAATTTGTCGTAAAGTTACAGGTGTACTCCACCTTAAAGAATGTTACGTTATTTTCATTGTGGCACATGCTGCAGTACATGTTTCTGTAAACAAAACCTGTCGTCCGTCCAATTACAGGGACACTTTCGAGAGGAACCGAATATGAATCATTCGCGATATTTTCGCAGTAATCCTTCACTTGAATTGAAGCCTTCCAAGACCCAGGGCATCGTTTGATGATGTAGACTGGCTTACTTTGCCCAGAAAGAAACTCGCACTCATACGTGTCACGTATCTTGTTGGTCAAAGAAAACAAACTATGACCCTTAGAAAAAATGTCACCATTCTGATATCTGTACGCGTCTTGACAGCAATCTCCATAAATCGCACAGTGATAATCACAACCGCAGCTCAGAGAATCGTTGGACTGTCCATGCTCGGAGTCATTACAAAACGTCTTAAAACTTTTTTCGATTCCAAAAGCATTTTTGTTGATGTTTGTTCTGTTCAAAAGAGCGCCAGAGCATTTCAAAACAAACAGTGACGACAAGAAAATACTTGCAACAGCCTTCATGTTGTTCAATGACTTTCGTGACTTTGCAACATCTGTTTAGTTTATGTTAGAATATTTGGACAATATGCTTAGTCAAAACCACAGACAAACCTTAAATGTATTTATAAGTTTCTGCACGATACTAAAGTCTGGGGGATATTTATGCATTCGCAACGTTACTGTTGTTGACGTTATATAATAAAAGTGCTCACTCACTTTTTGGATAGAATTTTTACGTATTTTATTGATGTTAAAACTTTATAGAACAAAATATTCAAACGAAAGAACTGAAATAACAGATTACAAACATGAAAGGTTTTTGAGAAGGAACAGAAAATCCCCAAGGCCACGTCATCGTTTATCCCACCAGACTTGCTGCTTAAAATGATGGGGCTAGGGCAAATCATTTGAACATTAGAAACAATTTGAAAGACGCAAAAGGCATACTAATCGGAAAGATCTGTCACGCATCTTTTACCTTACTAAATAGCAACTCTTTTTCTTCTCCCAGTTTTAATAAATAATGATTTATAACCATCATCTGGACAAAGGTTCGTCTGTGTAACTACTATATAGCCATTTCAAATATGGCGCTTACAAAAGTAGGTAACATGTAGGTTTACGTCGGTATAAAACCCGTTTTTTCTTCAGTCTTAAGAATGAAGAATGTAGGCTATATCGCAAATTTATTTATTTATTTATTTACTTTTTCTTAAATGTTGATAAAATTGATCTCGTCGAAGGCATTTTATGTTAGTTCGGATTCTAAGGATGCTATAGCGGTAGAGGCGATTTTCATCTGTTCCTTCTCAACAATGCACTTCCAAAATAAAATCACGATTATTAAAACTTTCGTTCCGTGTCCAAAAAATCTTGGGATGCAAAAAGTGAAACTGCGCCTGCAACACGGTAGCAAATAGACAAAATTGCGATTGAAGATCCGTAATAATCATTTTTTCATTTATTCATTCATTTATCTATTTATGTATATAAGTAAAAAAAGTTAAAGATCGGGGCAAATTGTTACTAATCTTAAATAAATTACCAATTTTAATTGGAGATGCTATCATGTATTGCAGTATTCGGTGTGATGTTATCGGTGAAGTCGCACCTAGTGCAATTTTGAACGCTCTGCAAGAAAGCCGATTCAGTGCTTCACCGCGTATTCCCTATTTCTATGATATAAATTCTTAATATCCCAGCCTGTCAATAAACCAAGATCCTATCGATTGATGTTGAGTTCATATGTCATTTTAATTTTTTTTCCATAGCAACGTCCGTCTGGTTGTTTGCAAACCGTTAATAGCTTTGTCTTTTCCAACGTCAAATTTAGAAAAAAACATAAGCCTATGTGCGTGTGTTTGCTCAAGTTCGATTGATTCGGGTCTTTACCGTTTGACTGAATGCTACCCTGCCGTATAATAACGCTTGAAATAAAGGTTGTTTTAGCAAAGAGCGGCTGGGTCTTGTGTAAGATTCCATATGTTAGGTGTAAGATAAACCTACCTCAGGTGTTCTAATTTAGCGGAACACACGTCTGAGGTGCAAATGCTTATATTGATAGGACAGCCTGTTAGAATATTGATTACTAATAGAATCTGAATTTAAAATACAAAACGCCCTGTTTTTATCAGTCACTTTGACCAAGTGCCCCAAGATCTTTTCTTACCTAATGGATTAAAAATCCCCCTGAAGCAATTCTCCTATTTATCTCTTTAACCAGCACTTAGACTGTCCCAAGTAGTATAAAATCATTCAGTTGGATTAATTCAGGACATTTTTTTCATTCGACATTCCAGTTTAAACCTTTATTGCGCTATATAGCAGAGTCCAAAGAGTGTGAGGGTGACGCCGACAGGCAATGGAACAGTCAATATCGACATGACCAACCTGAGGTTAAGGGTGGGAATCTCTGTCCAGACGAAGATTGTGATCCGCGTCTAGAATGTACGGAATATACTTTGGCTTTTATTTATGTCCCACTCGTGAACACAAGTGATAAATGGTATTTGTGAACGATAAAAATCATGAACTGAAGTTTGAATATAATCTCATTTTCTCACGCCATTCAGAGCACGCTCTGGGACTGCGGCACCAGGCACCAAGGTGGTGGGATAGGCCCTACCATGAAAAAGCGCAGTCTTCTACTGGTTATTTCAATGACAGCATGTCTAAACTTTGAATTATTGATCGGATATGCATGTTAGGTTGCCAAAATTTCCATTACACGTGCTTTCTGATTTAAGATGTTTTAAACAGAGCTTAAATTATGAACACGAACCCAAGTTATTTTATGATAAAACCTACTACAGTAGTACGACTAAAACTTTCCCCATTTCGCAGGGGAAAATAGTTGGTGTTGAAAGTCTTTAAACACGTAAATTAATTCAGCAAACGTGGTTCCATTGTGATATTTGGATGGAAAGCATTATATAACTGTCTGTAATTCTTTATGTCACGTCATAAAAAAATAGACCGAAAGTGCTGTGTGACCCCTTGACATTTTACCACTGTCTGAAAGTTCATTATCTGTTGTTTATCGGGTTACCTATTAACGGTATGATCAGACACATAGAGACGGGCGCCTTTCTTCACATCTTTGATGATGTTTTCTTAGGAGTCAAAAAAGACCCATCAGTCTATCTTAGGTAACGCGCCACAAGTTTACTGAGCATTAGAATGTAAAAAAAACTTTCTGATTCGAATAGTCAATACTAACACTTGAAGCGAATGTTCACTAGCTAATGATACTATAAAAACAGTGCATATAAATGCATCAATAGGAATAACGTCTGGGGACAAATTTGGTAGCAATTACTATTAACAATAATAAAATGTACGCTGGGGAGGCCAGTAAATGTCTCAATCAACTCAACTAATTACTTATAAAGCTTCTATATTGTTTCTCGGAAGACTTTGTTGATGAAAACCAATGAAAACACAGCACTGTTTTGAGTTATGATTGATTTTATTACTTCAAAAGAGATTATCAAGAACATCAAACACATCATGTGTGTACATCTATAAAACATCTTCCGCTAAATTAACGGAATCCACACTTCATCTCCTGCTTGCTGCGTTATAGTCAATCCGAGTAGAATATGAATAGAGATCCTTCACTTCAAATGAAATATGTTACATTTTACTTCATAAGCTCTACAGAAGTTCATAACGCTTGACAATCCACTGCGTGGGCATAGACTCCATTGCATGAACACGAATCATGATCCCACAAAATCTATCCTCATTACTCAAGACATTTAATACATTTTTTCCAGTAGGCCTATCAGTTAAATCGAAGTACATCTGTCTGCAATTTCCTTCGTGTTCGGCCTAGTAACACTTGATATTGGTGAAGATACTGTCGTTGATAAGGTATTGCTTTTGGATGTTGTTACCTCTCTCCTCTTAATGCCAAAAAGATTTTTGAGAAGGTTATACACCTTTTTGTTACATATAAAAGCCAAAAAAATAAACACCCCAAGCCACGTATTGAGAAATATGAAAAGAAACCAAAGTTCACTTATTTTTGTTGCCATGGAAAAATAAGCAGTGATCCAGGTAAGGCCCATTACAGCCGAAAGTTTGATGTAAAGTATTAAACGCCGTTTTTCGGATGTCTTTTTGGCGAAACTTGCCGCTTTTGAAGCTCGTCGAATTCCAACCACCGCCAAGACAAAACATATCAAGTCTAAGCATAACAAGAGTGAGACGGGACATATGAAGAATATCAAAAGTCCGTATTTCTGGGTAATCCAGCACACACCATTGTCACCGTATCTCGGTTTGAACTCTGAGGGAACGCCGCTACGATCCACAACAACCCCAGATAATGTCACGAAGAGCGCTGAACCCCACCCGTAAATAGAATAAAAAACAAACTTCTTGGCGTGCTTGCTTGAATTTGAAATACGGCTTGCATTTGAAAATGTAAAACAAATATCGAAAGACATAACATTTGTCCAGAAAAACGTTGCTAAATACGAGAAGTGCATTAGCACCGCGAAAGTAATGCAAGCTGTGTCAAATTTACCCCAAAGTGGGCTCAGTAGGAAAAGTGTCTGTGCAACGAACAAGGAGGCTACCAGGCACATTAATATCTTTCCGGGAAGATTCCTTAGAGTCGAAAGCAGTGAATATATAATTAAAAGAAGCCCGAGACAAACAGTAGAAATGACCAGACCAACCGTTGAACAAATAACTTGTGCGGCATCAAAACTAAATGAGAAGGGCTCAAAGTTTTCGTCATATGAAATATTTTGTGACAAATTAGTGCAAACGAGCACAGTTCCGTCATCGAGAAATTCAAAAGATTCTGGCAAATAAAGTCTATCGGTGGCATTGACATAGAGAGTGTCATTTTGAAAATGTACGTAGACGGTGTAATTTAACTTCGGGCAGGTGCTACGTGTAACATTCTGTGTAGTATCTGAAGCAGCTCCATTGTCGTCATTTAAGTGGGTAGGTTCCTCGCTATCAACACTGACACATATATTACCGACCAGTTTTTCGTTCGTGCTGCAGAGAAGCTGCCGACATCTTTCTGACACAACATCAAAAACCTGCCCCTGTAAACACTTCTTAAAGTTTTTAGTGGCAATATCTCTCCCAGACGCTCGAAACGACAATGCGTTTGGATCAAATAAAACGGAATAAGGCAATCCGCCTTCACCCACCCCAAAGGCTACGTCTGTCATACTAAACACAAGGGGACTTCTGATAGTGCAAGTAACGTCACTCTCGTTAAGCCCGTTACAAAACGCACAGAATTTGTTCTTGTAGATGACACGATGCGATGCATAAACAAAAGAGACGAACGGTACGTCCTCACATTCTTGCCTGTAAATACTGTGTTTATCTTGACACTTTGATGTATGGTAAATACAGTGCTTTGAAAAGTGTTTTACATTTCGTAAGTCTGGTTCGACTATTTTCCAACTGCAAACGCGAGCTATGTCCGATATATTTAAAGTGCTTTGAGTCGTTGTGGGCTTACTATTACGTGTGGGTGTAACATCCTTTCCATCCCTCAGGGGTAAATGCTTTTGAAGTTCAAATTCCAAAGGTGGAAATTCACAAATATATTTCACATTATAATACGTTACGCTGAGTTCGCCATGGCATATACTACAATACACATTTTTAAACAACAACCCCGTTCTTTTTCCGACGGCAGGTATACTTAAAAAATATCATTTGAGCTCCAGTCTAGAGGATTCTCACAAGAGTACCGTACCCTCTGTGACATGTTCCAAGCGGAGGGGCATCTTGTAATTACATACTGAAATCGGGATAAATCCATTCCGGGAAGCGCGGTGCATTCAAACGTACCCTTTATTTTTTCTCTCAGAATCGTGTATTCAGAGTGTGCTGCTTTGTCTCTATCGTCTATTAGGTGTACAGAGTCAGCATCTTCACAACAGTCCCCGTAGAGAACACACAGACTATTACAGTAACAGTTTCTTTCTTCGTCATTGCTGTCTGAGCTTGAGTTTGTGCACAAAGACATCCTGTCGCACATCAATCTGTCTGGTGGAGGAGGAGGAACAACGAAGTCATCCAAGTTTAGCATTACCTCTTCGTTCTCCTCGATCCTTACATTGGGAGTCGTATTTTTTGGCATATTCGCACGGCTGCTCTGCTTAGTGCCCATGTAGAATAACACGCAAACAAGTAATTTCAGTAGCTTAACAGACATGGTTACAGTATTAATTCACTGGCAACTGAGACTCGGCTATTTTCAATCTTCGATATATAGACGTACGTGTGCGAAAAGTTTCTCCCTATTCTGTGGTGTCCAAAAACCGCGTATTAAACATCTTCTAAAGGTCGATAAGATTCGCGAAGTCTGGTTGTTACCACAAAATTCATCCCTGGTAGAATGAAGCGAATATATATATAGTGCCCTGGACCAAATATTTGCACTGATGTGTTTGTAAATTCTTCGCAACTGCGATCTCTTGCAGACATGTGATGCTGTATACATCAACTCTGCGTTCGTCCCGCACATTTTTGATTGTCCGGAAATTAAATCATTTTCATCTTCTGTATATAGAATAAACTCTCCGGTAGCGAGATATGCTGTAGTCGGCTTGATTGGATTAATTCATTACCTTACTGTAACCCGACTCCTACCCATGAAAATGAGCTTAAATATGTTATCCTATAACGCATATATCACGGAAAATTTTTTTCTACAATCGTTTTTCATACTTTACCACCTTCATCAGCTTAGTTTAATGCATAAACATATTTGATATATTGAAATGTTTCTAACATAGAATCTTGGGATTTACGAAGGGGCTGGTAATGGGAGAAGATTGCGGACACTCGCTGTGCCTTCAGCTTCCTACAAATGCTCTTTTATTTGTCATGTAGATATGGCAAACGAAAATGTTTTTACCCCGATATCTCCTTCCCTAAAGTAATATCCTGTATTTGTTCATGGATATGGTCATTTTCGGCCCTACTTACCTACAAAGGAAGTATGAAACACTAGCTGTCAAGAACAACATTCGCCGCGTTTTTAATCATCTACAATTTCATCGTTTTTAAGTGCCGATAACGGTTACCCCTTCTCCATGCTTTAACCAAAGACAACTTGCTGTGCGGTAAAATCCTGGATTTACCAGATCCAAATATTTCTTTGATTTTGACAACCATTAAAAATGCCAGGATCCACTCACGCGAAGTTATCTAAAACCAGCTTTGTTTATAGAACTTTCTTTTGATCAAGTGGTCTGTTTCCGTGGAAAACAATTTTTTCTTGTAACACTTCGTTTGAACTTCTATAAAAAAGGTCGAGTGTGAGATCAAGAGATGTTCATCTGTAGTTTAATACCATAACATTATTAAATGATAATAACTAATAACATCAATATTTAACAATGATAAATGGGTATAAAAGTCAGGCTTTCCGCCCGCGGCGGTTTTCTTATTTGCCCATCATCAACGCTATAGGATTTAAAACTTATTTTCTTTTCTATTGAAATAGCTTATATCATTGTATATACAGTATGTATATATATATACTCGATGTAGCAGCCACAAAGAAAGGGGGCCGGGCAATACCAACAGAGCGACAGTGAATATCTTTAGTTTTTATAAAAAAAGGTTCAGACTCACGCGCAAGAAGATTATGAAAATGTGAATTTGAGTGAAACCGCCCAAAGAAACGAGGAATCGCTGGTATAACGAAAAGAAATATTTGTACAACACAAGGAATGCATCTAAATGAAATAATCACTTCGTTTATACATGTTTTATAAACTCTGGAGTCAAAAATAAAGAATGAAAGCTGGACGCTGGTTAAATTCAGGTGCGGGGCCTTAAAGGCGGTACACAAATAATTTGTCAATGCTGTGATGGTAGTGGCCGGGGCAGAGAACATGAAGCATGCGCAGATGAGGTGAAGTACATGGGGAGTTATATGATCTAGGGGAAAGAAACACGTCATCATATTCAAAATATGGATAACGTTAATCTTTTTATATATTATATTTCTCATGTCAAATACAAATACATATAAAGATACAGCTAAAGCCTGTGACATTATTTTAAATAATAGAGAATTCTTTACACTGACATAAATAAGATAAATAATGATTAATAATAAATATGTACTTGTCTTGTAATTTTATGCGTCTCACCAATACCGTAAATTGGGACCCGGGTGTGTTTTACTTTATACTTCATTGTATGTTTTTACAGTGTAACTCATGATTACATAGAAAGTAAGATATACATGTATGTAAAAAAGGACTTCATTTAACTACTTTGTGCCACACATGCATGTAGCTTACAAGTAATAACAATCAAAAGTGAAGGTTACACAGTGCGCATTACATTATTAGATAAATAAGTGACCCAAAATCCGCAAATTTCCTTCTCTGAATGAATTACTTAATAAACTCATACATTACAAATTTGACTTGGACACATCCGGTAAAACCATTTATGCTACGAGTAAATTCATTGATCACATATATACATACTAGAAAACGGATTCAAATGTCTCATTATTTTAATAACGAGACAGATAGGGTTGGAGAATCATATGCCATCAAACATAATACACACAATATCTAACATTGAAAAAGCGTTTTAAATGCCAATGATTGTTCATCTGCATTGTTCTATTTTACGTAACAAAATTACGTAAGGTGCACCTACCGGTTAGAAAACGCTATTAAAATAAACCAAGGATATGAAACCTGATATTCTTGTATTTTCAAATTTTACTCGACTTGTATATTTTTCATTACGTCCATTAAGAATGTTAACTAGCTAACAATAAAAACGTGTTCTTTCCTGCCCTCTTTAAGCTCATAGTATTTTATTATTTTTTTCACTGCTTCAATGTATAACGCCTGTAAGATACAGCTAAGTTGTTTACTAAACACCAAATGGGTTTTATCATTATCCAAAATTGCCAAAAAGTGGAATTACCCATTATCTTTCATGAAAATAATTGGTCTCGGACGCTTCCTATGTGTTTACAATCGCGTATTTAAACGCACTATTGACAATTCCGTCGTAGATGTTCGATTTCGCATGGAAGAAACAGCTGAACTGTTGCTTTTACTATTCCTTAAATTTTTCTTGGTGTGACATCCGAATTTTTTCCTTAACAGCTGAAACACGTTTTTATTGCATATATAAACTAAGAAGAGGAATACACCGAGCCATGTGTTCAGGAATATGAACAAAAACCAAAGTTCCGATCGGTTAGTTGCCATGGCAACAAAACCAGTTATCCAAGTAATGCCCATCACTACAGAGAGTTTAACAAACAACAGCAGATTTCGCTTTTCAGAAGATTTGTTCAAAAGAGCTATTCTGTTTGTGTCGTTCGAAACCTTGGTAATGTTGTAGGCTGATATGGCAAATAAGATTAAATTTGCTAAGAGGATTGCAGATACAGGCCCAATAAAGAATATAAGCAATCCATACTTCTGCGTTAACCAGCATAGACCATAATTGCCGTATCCAGGTTTATATGTTATTGGGACATCATCAGAAAAATCCACCACGAGTGCAATTGTTATGATTGTAAAAGCAAAAAACCACACGTAAAAGTGATAGATAATAAATGTCTTGGAGCATCTCTGCGAGGACGACACTTGTGTCGGATTGGAGAAAGTGTGACAAATATCAAATGACATAATATTCATCCACAGAAAAGCAACTAGGTACATAAAGTGAAGCAGGACTGAGAAAATGTAGCAAGCGTGTGTAATACTCCCCAATCTTGGACTTATCAAGAACAGTATCTGTGCTCCAAATAGCGAAGCAACATAATGCAGTAGAATTTTGCCCGGTCTGTTGCGCAGTGAGGGGAGCATCATGTATATTACAAAGTGAATAGAAAGACAAATGGAAGATATGATTAAACCAATGGACGAAAGATAAGTCTGGATTGCTGAAAAATTAAACTGCACGACATCTTCTGTTTGATTTCCATACGTACTAACACACACCAAAACGCTATTCTCATCAACTCTCCGGTAATCATCTGAAGTAAAATACTGTCCAGTTTTATTGATGTACAGTTCGCCATTTGGGAAGAGCACGAATGTTGAATAGTTTAAATGTGGACAAAGTAACTCTTTCTCTATAGAACTGTTATATGAGCGGTTAAGGAAGGTGTCAGAGACCTGAACGCATTTGTTTCCCTTTAGCACTTTGTCTTGCTCACACATTAAAGTACGACACGAGTTTGTACCGAATTCTATCGTCTGACCATGGGGGCATTTCTGATATTCAGCAGTACTTGGGTACGGTGAATATATGGTTTTCAGTTCAAGAGTTGCCGTATTTAGGTCAAATAACACACTATAAGAATACATAGGAAGACTGGATGTTGCATTTTCCTTTTTAATACAATTCAGCCGTCTTTCCTCAATGCCATTGCACATGGCGCAGAATCTGTTCTTGTATGTTTCGTGCGTTTCGTTATGGTATACAAACGATACATAAGGGGTGTCCTCACATAACTTTCTGTATTGGCTGCTTTTGTCAGAGCAGGTAGAAATATATTTCACACACGTTTTTCTGTTCAGATGGGTTCCTTTATACTTATATGTTCGACTACATTCATTGAAAACGTGACTGACATTGACGTCCATAGAATCTAGAGGAACTCCTGCCGGTGGCTGGAAATTGGGTCGTCTTCCTGGTGGGCCCATGGGGTGCGTTGAACTTTGCGGAACTGAGCAGCCAAATTTTACAGAGTAATAAGCGATATCGTCTACTTCGTGACATATACTGCAGAAAACATTTCTAAATACAAGGCCAGTCCTTTTACCAACCACTGGAGTTTCCATGAATTGATCAAAGGATTTTGTTTTGTTGAAATTATGTTCGCAGTTGATTTTTATTTCGTTGGGTCCGCTCCATTTCTGTGGGCATTTTGATATGACGTAACCGGAAGATTTGGTAGACAATGTCATACATTCAAAGAGTCCTTTGATTTCCCTGGCTAACTGTAACATATATTTCTTTGTCAGGTTGTTATTTGTAAGTTCCGCGGGATGAAAATCTTTACAACAGTCTTCGTAGAGAATGCAAACTTCGTCACAGTAACAGTTTCTTTCAGCGTCAGAGGAATTGCAAGAAGCACGAGTATGACAGTGTTCTGGGTTGGCTTGTAATGAAGTATTCATGCTTTCTTTCCCAGACAACGAACCATGTGAGTTCTGTACGGCTGAGGTAAAAATCAGCACCAAAGAACCTAGTACAGCTCTGTACCAGCGCATGCTTGTATCCTCTTTTGAATATCCTTTGTAATATTCCAGCCGAATCGCAGCACGAACAGAAACTCCTGGGAACCAGGCACATGTACTTTCGACAAAACCAACAGCTTGTAATTTGGTCTCTCTTCTTCGTTTGTACCTGTTTACAACTGTGTGTAACTTTTGTCTTTCTACCAGGATGCCTACAAATCAGCTAGGCCCCTAAACGACGTTGTAACAAATCTATTAATGGACATGCGCAGTGGTCGACCACTGTATGACTATGCGTCCATTAATACTAATACAGATTCTAAGGCCACTCCAGCTAGAGAGCCAAAATAAATAACAGGTATGCTCCCCCTATTAAGAGAGTTAATGCAGCACAAAGGGTCATGAGGTGTATCGAATTCTCGGTAAAAATATATACACCATAAGTACATATTTGATGTCATTATTATCTTGATTAACCTTACATCCAGGACACACATACACCCAAAGCACATTTCCAGCCTAGTTATGACGGCTGTACTATTGAAGCAGACCACCTGGTTCCATATATTTATTGTCGTTAAACGGGTTGACTACGACGTCGTTCGGGACGGAAGTCATGTGAAAGGTGTGGTCAGGGGACGCTGTGTTTAAAAGGTGAATAAATCACGCGAAAGGGAGGGGTGATCATTCGAGGGCGTTTAGCCCTGCAGTACAAACGTTATTTTCTCCTCTGAATGCCTTGTAGGATATCGCATATGATGGCGAATTTTATACTTTTTGCAGGTAATGGCTCAAGAGGAAGAAAGACTAAGGCAGAAGTGCGATGTGTGTACAAGAAAACGAAAGTTGATGCAGACATTAATAGGAAATTTTTATCTGAATCAAAATTTGAAGGATTTTGGACTAAACATCAATGAGAACATTGGTATAAAATGAAAAGGATAACGGACACAATGCCATTAATTATGTTGTATTGGACTTTCTGTACGCAGGCAGAGGCACATCGACGCTTTGCAGTTTATAATAAAATTGTTCGTATTGGCAATTCGTGTTTGTTTCTCGTTGAGAGTTATTTGAAAATATATAGTTTATATGCTGTTAGTATAATCGAATTAGAATATAAGATTTCTTAGCATGGGGAGCCAGTTCAACCTGTCTTATATAGCTACATGTACATGTATGTTATGAGCTATGGAATGGTTTAAAATCACACGGTCTGGTGATAGCACGGATGCAGTTAAACCGTCAAAACTGTTACGTGAAACGTATATGGAGTAAATGAAAAACAAATTATTTCAGATAATTGCACCGATGGAAAAACAATAAAATGAGTCATTTCATTCGGAAATAACTTCCTTTTCCCACATGTTAAAAGGGAGATATCACTGAGAGGATTAACTGATGAAAAATAGGCAATTTGCGACTTCATTTCCCTCATTTAATCATCATATAATACAGCAGTTTTATTCTTGCTGATAACCTTTAGTTTTGAGTCAGATCAAAGTATTTCGTTTCTGTTATTTTTGATAAAGATTCATGATGTTTTAGCGGTCATCTTACTGCTGCACTAAATTCTGAATGGAAAATGGCGCAGAATGCTAATAAAAACATGAATGAGCAATAAGAAAATGCATATTAATCTGTTTAAGAAAAAAATTAAGAGATGCATAAATAAATTTCTACTATCTCTCTCTCTCTCTCTCTCTTAATAAGTAGAATAAACTAAAATGACCTTTACTCAACGTAGGATCCAACATAACTCAGCATACAGCTTATGTTGGATGCTAGATTCAACATATGGAGTATCTTATCTATTTTCGCCTCATCATTTTTGTTTTACCAAACATCACAACCTTATTACGCGGTGCGCTAGGTCGATTAAGGTGTGCTTTACTGATAGAAAGCACCTGTCAGTGCAATGGTCGCTCAAAATGTTGATGGAGAATCCGTGTTTTCTTTCTTGCTTTCTTACTTTCTTCCCTTAATTTGCTGTTATTTGTCAGCCCAAATTGACTCGCAAAGTCAAAGCAGACCGAATTAATCACCATTAGCCAATGGTTCAATTTGCTACCTCAGCGTCACGCCCTTGAAAGGGTTTGCCGTACTCTTTAAAATGTATTACAATTAAACTAAATCTCGTACAAACGCTTCGATAGTTAATAATGTCTCACCAGAAAAAGCTTTGCAGTAATTGACAAACAAAACGAGAAAAGGGTAAGCAATAAATTGAGTGTAATTTAAGCTGTTTATCGGTAAATTCTGTGAGCAAGGTAGGGCTGAGTGGATATTAGCACAAGCTTTCATACCAACGTAAAAACAATTTTCTCTTAACTCTTATAACATGATCCATATGAACCCATGTCACTTTCCCCCAGGCGCTTGAAAAATACCCAATAGCTTTAAATAAGAAAAACAAGGAGAAAATGAATGAATTCTCGTATAATTCCTGAAAATTATTTGGGTAAAAGGTTCACATCTAGCACATTCAATACCATCTATCATGTTTTATTCCTACAGTTTGCACTTAATTGTGTTAGGGGCGACTTCTCTTTGATGTATATTAGAAACTGTCTTATTTATGTCTCTTCCATCCCGGTGCACCACAAACTTTCATAGTCCCACAGACAACAATAGAGAAGGGAACAAAGAATATTGGTTGTTCGAGATTTGGCCAAATAAGGCCGCTTTTATTATATAACCCCACTACCCTTAGCATTTTAACAATGTGACAAATTGTTGTCTGCAATAACCCCACTATCCTTATCATTTTAACAATGTAACAAATTGTTGTCTGTAATAATTGATAGGGATAAAAATATATATCAAATATTCGATACGACTCATCATCCTAAAAATTATGATGCAATGAGTCAGCAAAAGTTTTTATTTACAAACAATTTTACACAAATTTTGGTTGTGGGGTTGCAAAGAGGCCTGCCGTAGGTCTAAACAGTCCTGCATTATTCGGTTGTAGGTGCAATTATATTTTATTAGGTTTTGCTGAAGAAAAGCAAATCTCTAATAGATTTTCTTATTAATTGCTTTTTAACAGTATATATTTTGATTGCTAAATTCTTGTTTATAGGCCTACTCTTTGGTAACCAGTAGGCCCTAATAAAATGTTGAATAATGTAAACAAACAAACAAACAAACGTGCTTTTTTCCTCGGATTATTCTTTATAATAGGCCTAACGTGGGCAAGATTTCGATTTCGACACTTCTGTGTGATCATGATTTTCAAAGATATCAATTTCAACAAATATTAAAGTGCTTATAGACAAACTATAGAAAAGCTGACTTTTGCGGAAATAGACAGGAGCAACTGACATGCAATCATTTACAAAAGAGATAGGCCTACAAAGATAGAGGTTTAATTAAGGTATATTTAGCAGTAGGCCCCTATACATCCTGGTTTAGGAATGAGAATAGGCATAGATCTATGTATTGGACTTGATTCTTCATATTTTAACGTCCAGTCCGCCATGAAAAGATATCTAGATCTAGATCTATTCCCCTCTCCTCATTCACTTCACATTTACACCGTGAAGCCAATGACGCTGTTCAGTCACAGGGCATGCATACTTACACTATGACGAAACAAATACGTCATACAATTTAGCGTTATGACGTCAAAGCCGGAAGGATTCAGAAACGCAGCAACTGAGCCATGCAGTAATGCACAAAAAGAAAGCACCGCAGTCTACCTTTGACCAGGATAGCTTAGAGGGGAGGTCAACAACGGTAACTCTGTTCAAAAATGTTGAAGAAATCCTAACAGATGCAAAAAATGCAAAGGAGAGGGCAAAATCGGCCTATCAGAAGGTACAGACAATAAAAGAGTTGTATCAGCAGGCAAAGTCTGAGCTGGATTCTATAAATGAAGTAGCAAGCTCATTGGTTGAAACAAGCAAGTTTGTTGCAAATTCAGTTGCAAAGTCCTGCGGATACTCTTCATATAAAGATGCGTTTGAAAACGACGAACATTTAAGAGAAGCAGTGGATTTTGAACATTTTACATCTTTGTATTCAGATGTCCAGAATTCAGACGCACATCAGCGTGTAGGAACTTGTCAATGTACGGGTTCGTGTGAAACTGGAAAATATCGTTATTTATACAATCGTCCTGCAAGTCCAAGGATAGCAGCTCTTTCAAAAATGCAAGGAAGCCGTGAACAATCCCCAGTGTCATCCTCGCCTGAACAAAAATTCACCGAAAAATTCCCAGATAATTTAAGCCCAGATTGCTCTGTAAGCCTGGTATCATCTTTTGATTTAATTCATTCAGGCTCGGGATCGGTATTACCTCCTCTTCCTGAAGACGCTTATGTTCCAACCCGAGTCGAAGCCAAAGAGCCCCAAACTTGGGCGGAAAAAAAGACAGTCCGGAAAATAAAGTTGCGTCTTCATAGAGCTAATAATAGCGGGTCAGATCCGGATGTAAGCAACTATGGGGTTCTTGTTATCATTGATTTGTCGTTGTATTTCACCTCATATCTTTTATTTATTTATTTTATTACGAATATTATCATATCACAGTTTCAAATAGGATGATTTATTATAAAGAGATTGATTATAATGATAGAGTCTGTTGTTTAGTTTATGATATATTTTGCTTTTTTTTCTCTTTCAAAATTAATTTAAAATGAAACCAGTCGTCAGAGTATACGTCAGATAGCGAGGTTGAGGATATCTTGACGACAAGACCTAAATTTCTACGTCACCTCAAGCCTGATTCGATTGGTAGCACCGATGCGAAACATCCGCTTAGCACCAAAACACGTGGTGCAAACAGTCTGCGTCGATCAGTATCACCTCTACTTGACAAGGAAGAAAAGGAACTGTGCGAATATGTATGCAAAAATATATTAATATATATTTATACTACACACACACACACACACACACATTATATACATTATATATACATTATATATATATATATATATATATATATATATATTTTTTTTTTTTAATCACCTTCACGCTGTCTCAACTGGACAGTTTCTAATGATTACAAAATCTGACCAAAGCTCGAACGTTATGAATTCAGACACTCCTTTTTCAGAATGTTCTTATGTGACCTTAATGGTATGAGTGGTTGTCAAATTCGGATTGCAAATGTAACAGTCAAGTGGGCAGAGGGTGGAAGAAGGCTATCATTCAAGTGACCACCAAACATCTAATTTCGGCATCCATTTACTAAAGTGTTCCCTTAAAAGTTTACACGTGGAATTGCTCATTAGGTTTTGTGAAATCTAAACGTTTATTGAAATACCTTTTTGTAATTATCTTTGAACTAACATCTCCATCTGCCCATTAGATTTTGTGACATCTTCAAGGAGATTTTTTTGTGTGATGATTTTTGAATGAATTTGATAATGTTTACTATAAAACATGTTTTTTTATCGAAACACAATATTCCTATTTTTTATTATTATTGATTATTTTATCTTATTTATTTATTATTATTATTTTTTATTTTATTTATTTATTTATTTATTTATTTATTTTATTTATTTATTTATTTTATTTATTTATTTTTTTGCAATTGTGTGAAATATAATTTTGAATATTTAATCTTCTTAGGTTTCGACTGGAGACGAGTTACTGCCTCCGACTTTCCGCCTCCACAAAGGTTTGGCAACCAGCAGAGAGAATGCGGTAGGTGTGGAAACTGAGCATCCAAAGACAGAGGGCAAGCCGAAGGACAAGCCAGACAGCGATCCGGAGGATTACTGTGATTCCAAGCTAGACCTTAAAAAGGAATTCGATTAGATGTTCTTCGCTGGCGTGGTGTTTCTTATGTTAAGAACAGTTTGAACTAACGACAATAAATGTAATCAGATTGAGAAAGTTTGTTAAAAGGTGTTCAACTACCTAAGTTGAAAGAACGGCTAGGTTCAAATAAAATGAAAAATGGTTTTTGTTCGCAGATTCTGTAAGGTAGATGTACACGAAAGTAATGAAATCGATGATAAATGTGTCTGTTTTTAACAATTAAGCTTAGTTTAGAAAAAAGGGAAACCTAAGAAATGAAGGTTCAATATGAAATTATCATTATTAGAGCAAACACGAAGAGAGAAACAAACGCTTGATGTAGTATTTCATAGCTTTTATTAGAGTGCAGCCACCACATAGTTTAGGGAGTGGTACGACATGTTTATTTTTTTTACCAGCGCCCTATATAATTTAGAAACCAAGTTAATTTTATTGCAAAGTGCAAAACATGGACATTGTGAAAGAACTAATGATGTTGCAGCTCTGTTTTCCTACATCGAGAACAATTTAGTTTTTTTTCCAATTAAATGAAATATTGACAGCACGAAGGAATTTTTTCATTTTCTACAGTATCAAAATTGAAACATGAAATCAGGACCGTAGGCTGAGAAAATGCTTGCGGCAGTTGTTGAAAGCCAATAATGCATCTAAGCCTTTTATCTAGGCGTTAACTAGAGAAAACAAAAATACTTATGATGGCCTAGGAGAAAAGAAAGGCAAAAGCTATCACTATTTGCCCCCCCCCCAAAAAAAAAAAAAAAAAAAAAAAAAAAAAATCCCCTCCGCAGCCTACGGACCTGGATAATGTGCAGAATACATGGTCTGACGTCAATCAATCTGAGGAAGGATAGATATGCAAACTGTCTTGGTCCCTGTCGTTAATTGATGGAAATGTGAGACATTTTCATTTTCCAGTGATCATATTGCAACCATAGGGATAAAGGGAGTCTAAGCTATCTCCGCAGATACCTTGTGACACTATTAGGGCCCAGCATTGCATTGTTGATGTGGGAATACTGGGTGCGTGCTTTGTTCAAAGGTGTCAAAGCAAATGCTTTCATAGAAACATTGCCTCTCTAATGGAAGTTTTAAAAGTCAGTAGGAATTCTCTTTAAATAACCATGTTTTGGCACTGGACACACTTTTTAAATGGGATTGTGCGTGGCGGGACACCTATGTCCGCATTATAGTGTATGAAAGTCACCTGGATCACAAACCTCCACTTTTGATGGTAATCGAAGAGGGGGCAGACCGTGCACTATGCGTGTTTTACAAATTGAAGCATGTATGAACAATGCCGTAAGACAAATAAGATCATGAGAAAACTGTCCAAAAATAAGAAAATATACGAGCTACTTATGCTAGGCTACTGCTGTTCTTAAAGCGCAGGCTGAAAGCCAAGGTCTTGGAGGGCACTGCCATCGTCTTTATTTGCTCCGAAGTATAGATGGTATAGATCAGTAAGTTGATTTAAACTCCTTTTCCTAGAGGCACTTGCACAGTATTGGGTCAATTCTGTCATGGCGCAAGAGTGGTAACAACATTCACACGTTAAAGTGCCAGTTCTACCTGTGCGTCTTTTTCGCAAGCCAAAGTAGGACAAAGCACGTTCTTTAGGTTGAAATAGACTTTCCCTTAATTCTTCCAAGACGCCTATTGCTACAGGTTTTGCTGAAAGTACAAAACAAGAAGGATTTAGACTTCTAATTTCAAATGATAAGCTGGAATCGATACTAGCGTAATCTCTCTCTCTCCCTCTTTCTCTCTCTCTCTCTTTAAACACACACACACACGCGCGCGCGCGCGCACACACACACACACACGCACACACACACACACACACACAGGTGTGTGTGTAATACTCCTCGGGTTGTGAAAAAACTTATAAAACAATATGAAAAACGGATCAATTTATGATCAACATTATTACAAATTTACGTAAATTCAAACACAACCATTCACTTATGAAGTACGCCATTAAATTTACGAGTTGTATACACACATACACAAACACTCACGCCAAATAATTGGCTGTCTTGAACACTATGGTAATGTTAGGATTTGTCTGACAACAAACTGTATACATCTAGTATCAACTGCAAACTCCCAAAACATATAAAATGATGTTGCAGAAGAAGGTAGCACTTGTGTGCTGCGTATAATCAACACTAATTATAGTTGTTGAGATTCGTAAATCCACTCAATTAGAAATGCCCGCATTTGCTTGTAATACTCCTCGCGTTGTGAAAGCACAACTAATAATGTAACATGGAATATCGATCAATATATGATCATTTTTTTTTTTACACATCTTGCGTAATTTTGAACTCAGAACCATTAACTAATGAAGTACGCAATTGTTGATTTCATAAAGCCAATTTACAAGCTGTCCACCTGCGAAAACCAATGTTTAGCGAATGTAATGACCGGTAATTTTGCTTACACAGCAGGAGCCTATGTCCACTCAAAGGTGAAGCAAATCATAAGACAGATTAATAGTTTATTAGTTTTACATTATCTTTTCACTTCTCATAATATAAGCATTATTCGCACGTTTTCTGTTAATCAATTTTTTTTCAATTGAATTCAATTTCTTTCTGTACTGGTACATGACCTTGTACAATATGATATATTAATGACGATACAATACAATTGGTGCATTACCATTTTAATCATTCTGTGCTATTTCTAGGCAAATGTTACTATATACACACTGTATCCACATTTGTTAATAACATTATATTAAAATCTATATCAATATTTATATTTTCTACGATAGTTTTTGTCTTTTATTATCATCTGTTTAATTATATTAAAATTGTATCAATCTTTCTTTTATCTTTATCAGAATACGAATATTTTTGCTTTTATAACTGTCTGTTTTAGCAGAATCCTGCGTTTTCTTTTCCATCAGTTCTTAATGCTGGACTATCGCTAAAGTAGCAAAGGCAATAACTGCGTCACTGACGAAGACTTGGAAACAGTGCAACGTCACGAGAAGCACATGAAGATGGATTGCGGTGCACTAGCGTTAAGGTTTTCTTAAAAGTATTTATCTTTCTTCGCCACGAAATAAATCAATAACAGTAAAAACTGAGCTTCATTTCTGTTTCAATGTTCTATATTGTATATTGTGTGACAGGCTTTATCCTTTTAGTTAAATCAAGTTGCACGTTTCATCAAAACATGAAGCGACAGTATGATTAATGTGAAATAATACAAACTCTCACCATCAATTTCCATTCCACGCACATTACATTTAGAAGCGTTTTCGTATCAACTGTTAGAACCAGTGTTTGTATGGAGTTAGCTTTGTATGAAACATGGGCAATATACAGTGAGTGTGCAGGTGCATGTATGAGTATTGAACACGTGTCTATATCCTTTTTCTATCCTATTCTGAACGAGCATACATACATACATACATACATACATACACAGACTATGCTAACGACATGCATGATGATTAAATATTTACTAGCTGCTTGATAAGTGCGATCACAGCCAATATCATGTCTACTTGAGGAAAGTTTCTAAAACAATTTGCATCAGAAACGTCATCAAATAAACACAGAAGTGACAGATAAATGACACTCAATGCTATTTTACATGACCAGACTCACAGCGTTAATATTTTTTTATGTTGGACTTTTAGTTTCAGAACAGATGTTAGGTTAGTTTTAATACTTACTGTCTCTGATGGACCTTTTACTTGGTCCTTGAAATCCTCCATACATTTTGCACACTGTGTCCAGTAATGTTGATAAAGATTTGCCGCACATTCCTTTTGCCGGTTCGTCTCCGGTACACACTCTGCTGTAGCTAGCGAACACGGTGTTAAAACAGCAGATGCAACATAGGAGAACGCACACAGTTTGTCGACTGTCTACCATTGCGACTGAAAGGGAAAAGACCATATGCAAATTATTTATCCAAAATATAAGATTATTGCGTAAAGAGCGTGTCACAAAGAGTGTTTCCGCTTACGTAGCACCCACCACAAGAAGTTTATGAATACTGCCGAAACAGTGCAAAGACACACTTATAATTAATATCCGCTGACGTCACTGTTTAACACCAGACATGCATTGCCGACACCTAATACAGTCACGCAGTCTTGAACAAACATTTCATGGTTATCCTGGCAACGTATATTTAAGCTGACATCGTCTTTCGCTCAAATAAAGAGCTTCGATAAAAAAGTTTTTCTTTGAACTATGTAAATTAGCAAAGTTTTGTTCCAGCTACGCCTGCTTTATGTTCTATCACACGGCAGGCATGTTCTAATTTAAAGAAACTCTGAAACTACGCTGCGTGTATGTTGGTGAATATCAATAGAAACACAACTAAAATAGTAAACGGTACGAGAAATAAAGGTTTAAACCACTATATTATCATCTTTTAAGATGTCGTGGTTTGCCACAATACCTGTGATTGTTACTTATGTCAAACTGAACAAAAAGTATGTAATATAAAAAGCTGCCAAACACATGAAATTTTCTAACAAGTGTTTTAGAAAGTCAAACATTAGGTAGTTACTAACTGCATGTGGCGGGAAGACAAATATATTACATGTACCAGCATGGATGAATGAGTGTCATTTCATAATGGAAAGATAAACCTGAGCATTTAGGTAAAATTACTGTTTGATAATTAACTCCCGAGATTCAATCTGTTCTCTTCCATAAACTGGCCTTTTAGTAAATAACTGTAAGTAATTCTAATAATGAAGATGGACATCGTAACTTGGCCAGATCAAACTATACAGCACAGAAAGTCGTTCTTTATTCTTACTAGCACATGCGATTTCTAGCGCCCAGAAAGGAAGAAAAAATACATATGCACTGGGATTCACATACATGCACACACACGCTGAGATAAAATCAAAGCATTTTACCGTGTGTGCATTTCTCTCTCGAACACATTGGCAACTTCGCTCGGGTTACCAGCCTTGTGTGCTGGGTTCATCTTTAAACGAGCTTCGAAAATATCTTATTAAAGGGTGCTCTCTTTTACAAAATTGTAATCATCACGAAAATAACCATTGTCAGCACTCACTAGCAGCAAGCTCTTAGAAGTTCTTTGTTTTGTAGAAAATACACCCATCCAAATAAAACACTGTCAATGTTATCATTAGTTATATGTTACTGACTTGGCCCCTGGACCACCAGACGTTTATTGCAACATATGATAAAGAAAAAAGTGCCAAAATACCTAAATCTGGAATGAATGTATCAGCCATCATGCTACACAGTCGCAAGGGAAATATTTTCACAATCTGTGTGGGAAGACAATTTGCACGCATCATTTTGGCTTTACCTCAGTTGTCATCTCTTTCCTCCGTGATAGCTGCAGTATTGTAACATTGCAGCACTATACAGCAACTTTAATGTAAAGCAGATTTGGTTTAAATTTGCTTAAATTGTCATGCGTGGAGCATATTCTTTTCAACACCTCTGGTAGGTAGAAGAGGATTATTGCTGTCTCGCTGGGGAATCGTAATTCATGGGGAAGGTTGTTACAATATTGACTATCTAAAAATAATAACCTAATCTAACCTAAGAAGATAAGGTCACACGTTTCACAAATTCAACAGAGGGAAATGATACACGATATTGCTTTTATCCTACAAAACCATGCGGCTCACATACACATGTAAAGACATCCAACACTGATCTATAACCTCCACCAATATATTATTGTTATAAGTCACCAGTCATTATCGTTTTTTTTCTGGCCAGCATCTAGATCGCAGCAAATTTATTCTAACTGATATATCAGCGTGTTGAAAGATTTTTCTGCGTCATTTTTATGAATGTCACTGAAAAAAATTAGTAAAATTTACACACTGTAGTTACGGTAAAAAGGAAAAGATCTTTATTGGTGATTCTTCAAACCGTCAAAATCACCGAGATTAACCTTTAATTTAAATATTTTATCATTCACACACACACACACACACACACACACGCACGCACGCACACACACACACACACACACACACACACACGAGAATAAAAGAAAATAAATGTCCTTCTGCAAAACATATCAGGCTATTCATCCGTTCTATTTTTTTTTTCGAAATGTAAGATTAGGGGCGCTTGTGCCGGGTACACTACTGTCATCTGCCCAGAGCGTCGCGGTGCTCAAACCCTAGTATGGTCATTTGGGTTGTAGTTTATGGCGTATAGTAAACATTCTTTAATATCGTAAGTACATTAATTAACACATAAGCGACACATAATCGATTGTAGCTAAGTTTACTTTTAAATATCAAATGACCAGTTTACGTTGACCCTTCATGCGCCGTCGTGGCTCGATGGTCTTCGCATTTCTTCAATAAAAACACTTTTTGTTCGTCTTTCTTAAATCGCAAAAAAAAAAAAGAAAGAAAAAAAGAGCGACACACTCACACACATCTTGATTTGAACTTTTGTTCTCTCAATTGATCTCTATTAAGAAGAACTGTTTTGTGTACGCCTATCTGATCACAGATCGTTGAAGTAAAACCATGCCTGGTTGTGTAGAGTGTCAGTTGTGCAATTCTTACACCTGCTTTATTTATGAATGAGCATTTGATGAAAATGTAGGATTCTTATTTCCGGAAAAGAGCTCGAATTCAAGCAATACTACAGAACATCCGTTTTCGGTTAATGCAAGGAAAACGCAATGACGCGTATAATTTCTCGTGAATATTAATATTTCAACAAAATGATACTTTTAAGACCGAATACTTCGTGGGAAGCGAACGAAAAGTCTAGATATGCAGGGTAAATTTCGACAAATGCCCAGTTTTAAAAGACAATTTGCAAAACCACAACTGATTTCTATAAAAGCAAATGTATTGCACCATTACTTCATGAACGTTAAAAGGGTGCCAAACCGGGAAAAGCTAATACATTTCAATAAAACCATGAGGCAAACACACACACACACACACACACGCACACACACACACACACACACACGTCAGCACGAGTATATGTCAGCAAGTCAACCAATGCACTGTAAATCTATGTACAAGGTAGCAAAAAATCATATAACTATTTACTCGGCCTACCAGCGATAATTTTCCGCCACAAGAATGTAATAGGTGACATTGTCCAAACTGTTGATTCCCCGTGTCCAATAAGTGGAAATAAGTCCCTGGCAGTCACGGCAGATGTTTTCACCGGCTGGGTGGTGTAGGACTGCGAGACACACGAAGTAACACCGTTTATTTATGCCTTTAAATCCAACCTTATGGAAGTCAGTGCCGGGTGAGGACAGACTCTCCAAGACACATCGAATCACAGCCCTGGTACTACATGGTTGCTATGTGATGCATTCACGTCATAATTAATGAGGGGAGGCCACTGAAGGGGTAGTGTAATTATCCACTTGCATCTTTTTTCATATGTTCAAATAAAGTGCTTTCCCCATGTGCCATCCTTCCCACACGTTGGCGTAATTCCCAACCTTATCAGGCTTTGGGACATGCATCCCCTAATATGTGAGCTTCCAGGTTAGTGCCATACTATTTAATAGAATGGCCATAAGTAGATATTAGCCCAGGCCTCTAGCGAGTATATCGCCTTGTACATATAGTTGTGTGAGATAAAGTAGTCTAATGGTTTGATTTCCGATAGGAAAACGAAAAAACCGTTCTAGGCACAATGGAACTTGCAACTTCTAATTTAATTGAACCTCATCACAGAAGGATATAAATATATCATCAGACACAATTCAATAATCTGGTCGATTTCTGCTTTATTGAATTTCCAAACTGAAAGAACTAAAAGCATTCTTAACTCAGTCAAGATGCTGGGTGGTTTGTTCCCTTAAAGTGAAATTTTTTTGTTTTAATTCCTCAAGACTGACCAGAAGTTAAAATGTCATTTAAAAAATCTAAATCTAATCTTATTAAAAACAATCAAATTATTTGTATTTAAACATTTATAATTAGAACAAAATTGAGCACCAAAGCAAGAATGGGTCAGGCCTGGTAGCTAAAGGTATACAATTCGCGTTTGAGACTGTTTAAGGTTATCGTTTCTATGTGTACCTGTCCTGCAAAAGCTACTTATCTTCCCATTAAAAACGATGAAACCTCTCAAATGAAAGTGCCTCGATACTCCTTTCTAAAATATCTAGGAAGACATGGTGGTCTCAACGTTACGGGAAACATATAGAATATAAAATTTTCAATTAAAATTGGTATAAAACATCAACATGATATACGTTCGGGAAACTTTTACTGTAGAATTAAATTATTCTATTGAAAATCCGAATGTAAGGAGGATCAAGCAATGATTTCCTGAGTAGGAGAAATCATATTCTTAATGAAAATTCGATTTGGCGGAAAATCCCACGAAGGATACCATTAAAGGAAGAAACAAATAGTTTTCAAAAAAAAAAAGTAAACGTGCCAATTCATTTCCTCTTCTCACTACCCCCCACGTGTGCCTTACCGCCCTTCTTCCTGAAGTCTTAGTTTCAGCTCCGCCTTAGCAATCACTTCAAAATTGTTAGTATTGAGCCTTCACTCGGCTTCAGATAAAACGTGACAAAACCATTGATAAAATCCTATTTTAATTCAATCAGGCATTTATCTTAATATCCTATATTGTGGAAATAGATGTTAAATGCCGAGTCATTAGTGTTATTGCATGGTGAACCGAGGTAGTTAAAGAAAATCGTTTGTAACGGAGTGTCACGAATTAAATTTTCTAAGAAGATAAGCATTGTAACTATGGTTCTCAATCTACTGCTACGGCTTAACGCGTTGTTTTAATCAATGCCACAAATGAACGAGTTAAGCCACAGCAAAACTACCAGAAATAGTCAATAATCTGTCTTAAGCTTCTTCCACCGGTTCTCAAGTATCATCGTATAAACTGATACATGCCTGAATAATCTGAATATAGTAACAATGAATTTCTGCTAATATATACCTTAAAACGGTCACAGCTGTCTTTTTGCCACGGTGAACACTTTAAGTGATTAAGGGGATAAAACACGTCGTTAATTAGTTTTTAATATCTCTGTTTTAAATTACTGAGTGTAAATTTGACTTCCTTATAGGTGGGGCAGATATTCTTCTAATGGGATGAACATCAAACGGTAATCCCTTATGTTCTGAAAAGATTTACTGTATAAAAATACAATAATTACGCCATCTGGTTTGAATAAACTTTAAATTGTTTTCCGTAGTATTTATATCAATGTTTGAATATCGTAAATTAATCGATTAACAATAGTTTCCTTACTTATTGAAGCTCTTAATTGACTTCAGGTAAAGCATTTGGAAAACCTGAAATATTAAAATTAAGCTGTTGTCCAGAATATTATAAGTTACTAAGAGTTTCGATCTTGCCTTTAACCATTACAACCCATTTTTTTTACTTAATCAGTCAACATGCAATCATCACTATGAACGTTTTAATACAAGACATCTTGTCCAGCGACTCTGAAAAAATGACAGAATTCATAAGTTCTGGTGGGATGAGGAAACGCGGCCAACCCGATTGTCGACGTTAACAACTTGGTCACTTTCAAATCACTCCCGATTTTATTTTATCTTAAAGTACGAAGCACGAAGTATTCAGGCGCGTAAGAAGTAGCATTTAAAGCGGGGGTGGAGACGTGGTCTAACGATTCAGAAAAAAAAAATAGCGACGGGTGTGGGGTTCCTTAGCCTCCAGGAAACTGATGTGACAATAACATGATGGTTGAAATAAAATGGGATGCTAAATTACCCTAACCCCTCCTGCTTCTACTCCTGTTGAAGGATTGCCAAGGCCCCCAAATAGGTTGCAAGAACATGAATTTAAAAAAGTCTAACGGACTGTGTCCTGGATGTTGGATGGTGCCATGCAAACGCTAACATCACTCTAGAGGGTTCAAAGAATATGCCTAATATCAACAAGTCTCGGCTAAAATCTCTAGCGCTTAACTGCACGATTTTTTTCTAGACAAGTCTTGTGGTCTCGCGGCGAAAATCAGTAGTTAGCACGAAGTCATCCACCACCTTGCGTCTGATTAAAGTAATTCTCTTCAACCAGGAGAATTAAGTTTCTCCATCAGTGATCCATTAGGCTGCAAAGTATAGTTTATGTGGAAGAATGTTGTGTTCATTAATTGTCTCTTAGGTCAAAAGTTATTCCCATGACTTGCTTGAAAAAGGAATCCACAGCTTATTTCATTGCAGGTCTATTTTGGTTCCTGGTGGTGGCAACAGTGTCGTGTCCGACGTAAAGATCAAAAATATATTTTATGAAGTCGTATGATGTAACGTGTTGTGGTCCAATAGTTCTTGAGTAATGTGGCGGTCTCTTTGTAAAGAAAATAACTATACAATTATAAGTAATTTAAGTTTGCGTCCACCTTGGGCAAGAAATTAGTATATAAGCAATCAGAATTGATACCTTAGGGAGAATAGAGGGGAAGAGAAAAAAAGGAGATTGGGAGAGACGGAGCACGGAGCAGACGTGGTTTCGAGAAGTTGCTAGTTAGAAACTTCACTTAGAATATGTAGATACTGAACGTCGACGAATAAATCGTCTAAGTGGTCATTATGTGGACTTGGGTTTTCTTTGCGCGACCTTACGTAAATCTTTTTAAATTGCGTTATCCCCTAAGTAAGCCCAAAACGTAGGCCCCTAATGTCCTATTTCACGCCCACCCTTGAATTAAGCGTACAAAAATTATATAAATTTAAAACATTCATTCTATATGTATGAAAACGTTCATTACAATGGGCAAAACAACAGCCTATACGACTCATTGATTAATGTAAAATGTTTGATTTGTTTTTTTCCCTTGAGGATGAAATTCATAATGATGGCGAAATGAAATGAACAATTGACTAATTAATTTACTTGAATATAAATTTAAGGGAAATTTTGCTGGATTTTCAACCTCCTCCGATCTTGTTTAGGCCCTATTGACTGCAGAACCTTCCGAACCTCCCTGAAAGTGATTTAATTTACTCATTGCCAAAATGTTTAAATAACACTAGTTTCTTGTAACAATAATTGTTTTTGGAAAACGACATTAGATTTTGGTTGCCAGAAGCTTTTTTCAAACTGCTTAGTACCAGAATTGCTTTTGAAAACCGATACTAGACACTGGACTCTGGGCAGTAACTTCAGTGTCCTTGTGAGGTTATTCATTCATACATGTAGCAGGCCATTGAAAAAAATCAAAACGACGTAACATGTTTAAGCTACCTAACTCCACCCATTCCTACCCTTCTTAACCTTGAACCCCGGTGATAACATTGATTTGTGAAATGAAGACACAAGACTTTGGGCACGCTTGTTGTCGGGTTGTACGTTGACGTATTTTGCTATCAGTATAGTGTAGCAGCTCCTTTTTTCAGTGCCTACACTTAAATATTTGCAGCATTCATTCTTACGGCTCGAGTGACAGGTGTTTCACGTATGTGAGGTTTGCAAACAATGTCCTTGCATGGAAGTTTAATTTATACTTTATATCTAGAGATATAAACTAAAGCTTGCTTAATTTTCACAACTGACACATTATTGCAAAATAGATTAGGCGTTTATAAAAACTGTCATGAAAGCCAGCCAGGGCCTACTTTTCCCACTTGCGGGGCATCTTCCATTTCTGTTTATTATAGTTTTTAAGTCATCCTGATGCCTTTCCATGTGAATGAAGTTACAATCATAGTATTTCTTAGGACGCTGGGTGCAAGTCCTACACTATAACATTGACGTAAGCGTGTACAAACCTTACTGAACTTCATTAAGGGAGAGCGATAGGCCTACGTTATAAAGCTTACACCTGACAAATTTCTCTTTCGTTTATGTACAATGCTCATCTTTATATTAGTGCAATAAAAACAAGTATTTTTAGAGTTCAAATTCTCCCTTTAGTTGCTTTATTCACCACCCCACTCGCTTCTGTACATGGGATGGCCAACCGTAAATAGTCAATTTCGCTGTAAATCGGTGTTGGGCAGAGCTCGGTTTCCAACGTAAATCTGTAACTTAATAAGATGTTGTCATAAAAAAGTGGCACTTCTGTGAATTACAATCTGGTGCCAGGATTTACTTTAATTAATTTATTATCTTTATTACTTTTTGTTGTTTTGTTTTGTTTTGTTTTCTTTAGAATATATGAGGCCCCAATTACGATGTCCCATTAAACAAAAGCACAATTTTGCCTCCTTACTGATAAAACCAGAGGAAAACCTTTCAAAAAGTCATGAAGGAAAGTGACTGAATATTGCCTAATATTTATGTCGAAAAGATAAAAATTTTGAACATAT